AATCACATTTCTCTTCTGTATGCATAAGTCAGGTCGGAAACGTTTGATAGAGGTTGTATCTCTAAAACAGAGTTAGATTGATATTTTTCGTCTGTTAATTATTTTAAATCCATTACTTATCTTGCTTTATGTGCACTATGCTAAAGGTATCTGGCAATAGTATTTGTACAGACGATAATCCCTTTCAGTCATAAGTTCCTAGGAATGTGTTGGGAAAAACTAGTAGAGGCACTTTCATCTGTCCTTACAATTTACTTGCTACCGTAGATACACGTCAATTCATAGATACAATCGAAAGTGATGTGGAAAGGGTATTATTCTAACTTCAAATGGTTTAACGAACACTTGGTGTTGTATAGTAAAACCAGTTGAACAACATGCAAGATTCTTTGAGTGCCGCCTTGACTGTCTCATCGATTCTCCCTAAAATCTCATCTCTTTTGAACGGACGTCGGGTGTCAATAGGTATTCTCAACGTTTTCGACCTGGATGATGTATACAGAAGGAAAGTTTTTTATTCTTCTTAACCTTACGATTTCAGTTACTTTTCGTACATTTATCCAAATTCCATAAATTTAAGTGTATTAAACATTTGTTGATTATTGTAATAGTAATTGTAATTTTAGATTCATTTTATTCTGAAAACCTTATTGTGTTTTTTTCTGTTTAAGAATTTAATGAAAATATATTAAAACTAACTGTTATGTAGCCAGTTGAATACAGTTTACAGTGATGCAAATTATGCAAAAAGTCACCTGAAGGACCGTAACGTCAACTTACTGATAAAATCTAATGAGAATCACCATTTACTTTAAACAGGGTAGAGTTAATAATTTGAGCCGTTGGATCTCACTTTCCTGGTCTGAAGACCAGTAGACCAGCAGAATCGTATAAATTTGGAAATCCACTGAAAATAAGGAAGCACAGGATAGCTGTTTCGTTCTGGTGTGAAACTTTTCAGAAGTGCTTATCCCGGACTCCATCAATGGAGATCTGAACCAGAACCTTTAGTTTTTTGCTCAAACCCTTATTGTGTAGACCACTGAACTGAAAGCCAACGATGTATGTGTCTAACTTTAGTCGAATAACATTATTTTACAGTACTTACACTGTCTTTGCTAAGTGACTGCCTTACACTCGGCACTCTCGAAATCTACTAGTGACGGCTTCTCATTAGAACTCCAGAACTATCGCCCCAAACGAGTTACCAGTGAGCATATAATAATTAGTAAAGAGGTACATGGAGCTTAATAGTTCAAGGATTTATATGATAAACTTTAATTTTAACATTTGAATTCATGAGTCGATCTAAACCAGAACACCATTAAAAACCTGGAAGCAGCGGACGGCCGGATCAGTGGTTTAAAGGTCGAGCGTTCACACACGAGACCGAAGGTCCTGGTTTCGAGTCCCGTGTACGAGATCGTGGATGCATAGTGCTGAGGAGTCCCACACTAGAACGAAACGGCCGTCCAGTGCTTTGAAGTTTTCAATGGTGGTCTAACGTTAATCAGTTCATGAACTCAACAAAAACACTATCATAAGACTGTGAGCCAATAAAATGTCATACCTTAGACATCATCTAAGAGTACGTTGGATATTTGTAGACCTGTTATACAAAATCGTTGTCTAATGAATAGTAATAACAGCAATTTTCCTTAATCTAAACAAATTCTTTATTGTGAATGATTTAAAAATTGCGATCTCCAGTTGTTAAAAAACTGGTCAACAAGTTATTGCAGTTAAAATCTGACAAAACTATAGTCATAATACAATCTTAACCAGAAGCTTCTGAATACCTGAATTGATCATAAGACTTAGTGTATAGACCAAGACAATTTTAAATTACTTGTTCTATGATAAAGTTTGTATTTCAGTAACGGTGGTACCTATTGAAAGTAAACAATTATTAAGCTAGTTGAAGTCATGAGTCGATTAAAGCTAGACCACCATGACAAGCCTAGAAGCACTGTACGGCCGTTTCGTTCTATCGTGGGACTCCTCAGCAGTGCGCATACACGATCCTGCCTCGCGCGAGTCCCATACTAGGACGAAACTGCCGTCCAGTGCTTCCAGGTTTTCCATGGTGGTCTAGCTTCAATTGTCTCATGATTTCAACCAGTTAAATTTTTAAGATCTCCACAAAACCCCTTCTGATAATTATTAAGTTAGCAAAACTTAAGAATTAGCTCAGTTATATGATGCTTATAATAAAACTGTGGGTTGATATGTCCTGAAACTAGATTAAAAAATAAATAGTCATGGAGTGTGCTAAACACTATAATGTGACATTCAGTTTTAACAGATGTAAGTTAATATACATGTATAAACATGAATTGTTTATATTAATTATCATTATCACTGAAACGTATAAAGTGGTCAATAATTACAGGTCACATAATTTGATACAACCACTAACTGTATTGTATCAAAAACCAAATATAATTTTATACTATCACTTATAATTAAATTGATCGATATTCAAATAGAAAAAAAATCGTTCAATACCAAGTGTCATTGCTGTCTTATTCCGGTTTATAACTCTTTAATAGCGCCTCATCATTAGATCATATTTGATCAAATCCATGACCTACAGATTTCAAGAGGAGAGGAAATCACAATCTTAGACCATTGAATCATAATCCAACATTATTCACTTTGAATTTCGATCGATATATGATACAGAACAACTTTTATCAAATATTATCATTGTGTATATAGCTCACATCTTAATTAGTTAAATTCATCAATTAGAACATGGTAAAAGTTAACTAGACTTTGATCACACTTATTTCATAATTTTACTCATTTTAAATTGGTGAAATGGTTTGGAGAATTTGATATAATTCGACTAAATACTACTCTTATTCTACAAAAAATTTGTCATCTAATTATTGATGTTACTGTTACGTGACAACAACAAGAAGCCGTGACCAGTGGAGGTAATCCATGTCAGGTAGAGACAGGTATCTACCTCAGTACAATGGAAGATGGTCGCGCAATTTCGTGGATTGGTTGAGGTTAGACATTAACACCAGTGGATGCCGGCTCAGTGGTCCAGTAGGTTAAGCGTTTGCGTGAGGGACTGAAGGCCCTTGGTTCGAATCCCGCTAGCGGGATCGTGGATGTGCAATACTGAGGAGTCCCACGATAGAAAAAAACGGCCGTCCAGTGCTTCCAGGTTACCAACGGTGGTCTAATATTAATCGGTTCATGATCTCAACCAAAAACTTAATAATCTCCACAACCCCTATACTGAAAAAAAAGAACCCATAAAATATAACTGATGACAAAAATATGTTTTGTCATTCTAATTCTATGATTGTTTTATTATTATTTTCAATTAATCATTTTCAAAATATAAACAAATTACGTTTTTTCAAAAGATTGCCAATTTTCTTTTTTTTAATTTTCAAATTCAATCTAATCTGACACTAAGAAATGTGAAGTTGTATTCGACAAGGAATAATTAGAATTAAATGAACACATGAAAATTTGTAAAACATAATTACAGAAACGTGACTTTTAAATCAATCAACGAACAACTATTTGTGTTAGTTTGTTTTTTTTGGCAAGTATCAAGTCTGTTAGACAAAACCGAAATACTTTTTTCGTTGTTTTTGTTGTTGCTGCTGTTAAAATAATTATGTAATTACAAAGTGTATATCATTTTATCTTTTGAATTAAACTACCTTATTGATGTTTACATGTATTATGCATGTTGAATCGACTGTCAACTAAAATGTATTTAGAAATTTCTACTTATACTGGCATTTAAGTAGTGGAGTCCTTTTTCGTTGTTGTTGTTGTTGTTAAATCATGTGAAAAATTTACGTACTCAATATTTATGAAACTGAATAAACATGTGTAATGAAAACATATAGCATAGAATTTTAATAATTTTTATGGTTGAATTCATCATTAAGTCGAAGTTAGACCACAAGGGAAAACCTGGAAGCATTGAACGATCGTTTGGACTGGTTTCAAGAGGTATTTCCTGGAGTTCTAGTAAGAAGTGGTGACTAGTGAAGTTCAACCTGGTCGGTTGTAATATAGTAACTCGTTCAAGACAGTGGTGGACGGTGGCGCAATTTTGTGGATCAGTTGAAGTTGGATATTAACACAATTGATTGCCTGGTCTGTGGTCCAAAAGTTGAGCGTTCGCGAGCGACACTGGTAGGCCCTGGGTTCGAATCCCGAAATCGTGGATGCGCACTACTGAGAAGTCTCATACTAGGACGAAACAGCCGTCCAGTACTTTCAGGTTTTCCATGGTAGTCTAGCTTCAATTGACTCATGAATTCAATTACAAAAACATAATTCATAAGAGTCATTAAGTATCCAATTGAAATGGATATGTTTGTTTTAGAATACTATCAATTAATCTAGTAATATGATAGATTATACACATATTGGTAAGAAGAAATATTACATGGACCTATCGTAAGATCATGAGTCATTTGAAGCTAGACCGCCATGGAAAACCTGGAAGCACTGGACGGACGTTTCAGCAGTTGTTGTTGTGAGATAGTAACTCACTGAAGACAATGGTGGATGTATCGCTCAATTTTGTGGGTCAGTTGAAGCTAGACATTACCAACGTTGGATGCCGGCCGGCTCAGTGGTTTAGTGATTAAGCCATCGCGCGCGAGACTGATAGGTCCCGGGTTCGAACCTCACAGAGGCGAGGTCATGGATGCGCAGTGCTAAGGAGTCTCACAATAGGTCGAAACGACCGTCCAGTGCTTTCAGGTTTTCCATGGTGGTCTAGCTTCAAATGACTCATGATCTCAACCATTGAAATTACTTTAATATCCACAAAACCCATCTGATATAAATATTGTTTTAGTTCACAAGATGGCTGATCAATGTTCTCTTGTATTATTGCTCATATAAGCTTCATTTATATCATTTATTCTAGGTACGGATATTCAATTGTAAACACTGAACACTAAATAAATCCTAATGACTTGATCTAATCATAATAAAAATCCACTTACTTCCATTTCATCTAATTTCAATAATTTTTCATAGACTGTTCTATCTGGTACACCAGGTTTTAAATAATCCATAATATTTTCATTTTTTATTAAATACTTCAATACTAATTGTTCATCAGTAATATTCAATAAAGTATCATTTAGTTTTGTTGAATTCTTTTTGGTTGATTTTTTTTTTATCATTATCAGTTGTGAATTATTTGATTTACTTGTAGTTGTTGTTGTGTTCATTGATGATAATGATATAGATTTTGTTGTTGGAAGACTTGTTTTAAGCGATGTCTCTGTTATTGGAGAATTATCATTAGTAATATTTGTTGTGATTATGTCTGTTGGTAAACTGTTATTACTTGTATGAATAGTAGGATTGTTCATATTAGGTTCATTTATGATTAATGAAGATATGGATTTATTGTTTTCTATCAAACTCTTGTTTATTACACAACCACGTAGATCTGAACCCTGTAGATAACAGAAATAAATTATAATGTCAAAATTGAGTTCAAGTCGATTTCAGTACTATGGAATACAAAGAAACCTCATAATTCATGTTTAATTACATATGCCTATCCATTACCTGCCACAACAGGCGATATGAGCTAATGTGGGAGGAGTTCACGAGGAAAATATAGTCCGCCAAAATGTCCCAATAATTTAGGAAGTCAATCAATGTTAGTCTGTGCTATGCTGGTAGATGCTAACTAACTGGTTGAGGCTACGAAGATTGTCGTAGGCAGTGGTTGGAGATGCGAAGTGATATGTCTCACAATCAGTCACAATGGAACAAATGTATTAATTATTTATATCACTTTAGATAATCTGTTTCAGTATTACTTCACATATACTTTTTCGTTTTCTCTCTTTAAATTTTACTCTCAATATCTAGTCTTTTTTATGGGCATTCTTATTACAATATATTGTTTCCTCTGCTTCGTATCTTCGCAGTTTTACTGCGTTGTGTTAATGTGATATGACAGTTTTAACTAATGTACATTTATGTCATGCTCTATGTTGATTATGATTAATTAACTGATTTAGTCGATTCATAACCGAAATGAACATGTATTCCCGTTTAGTGTTACATCAATAATCAATACAGATAACGTATATGTAAACAACTTATCTTATTAATTTCGACTAACTCAGATTACTATCAAATCAAATGGCATCATGTAAACGTATGTTTAAAAAAAGCAGTTTAGAATAGACAAAATGTGTCAATTCACTTAGTTACATTATGACTTGCTTTAATCAAGACGTAACTAATAAAATCGAAGTTTGAATGAATGAAATAATATTTAATTCAGGATAAGTAATAGATATTGAATGACTACGACTCAGTAACTCTGACTGTTTTAGATAGTGCTGCAGAACATCTCCAAACTTTAAAGGTATTCATAAAGTGTTACTAACTTGTGTCTAAGATTTTTGAATATTATTAAAGATGATGTTTCATTGAACTGATCCAGTATTGTCTAGCTCCTTAGTAGACTTCTACTGTGCACATGGTTATGATAAAGTTGTTCAAAAGATGCAGGTAATAACAAAGTATTCAGCTTTTTTACTGTTAATCAAGCATTCTGTTACTAAAGCAACTATATTTTGCTGTAATTTTTAGGGAAGTTCTATTTAACTAATAATTAAAAATGTGTCGTTAAAAGGTCACGAATTGCTTAATTCAAAATCTATATACTCAGTTATGTGCATTTCTGTTCATTAAGTTTAAGATTTAATGTCTTTTCACGATTAGCTATAACCTGTGATTAAAATTTACTTCAGAGTGAATATTTCACGCGAATCTACCTTTCTGATTCATGTCATTTACTCACTGGTAACCAGCTTGTTATCAGATTTCTCATGTTCGTGACGGAAGCCATGATCGATTTAATTTAGCAGTACTAGTCTACAAGCAGATAATGTAAATAGAACAGGATAATTACTGTACGTTATCACGAATTAGATTTCGTCTAAATAACTCTACAGGAATGTAGTCATTGTAAAACTTGAACTTGTTATATTAAAATTATATTAATCGGAAAGTATATGCTAGTGAGAGGGAACTTAGGATAGAAGGATAGAGTATTTCAACACTTCCTAGTTTTAAAACATTCTCCAGGCTGATTCATAATAAGGACACTTAACAATTTATGACTGAATCTAAACGTTTAAAGCCTACGACAAACATTTTTCTTATCAATTATCATCTTGTATTCTGTAGTTCACTAGGCATGTTTTTCAGTTTCTAGTTATTCATTCTGAGTCCCACTATAGAACGATTTGGCCATCCAGTGCTTACAGATTTTCCATGGTGGTGGTCTAGCTTAAATTGACTCATGATTTCAACTATTGAAACTACTACAATCTCCACCAAACCCCTTCTGATACTATTCATTAGGTGTCATAAAAAAATTTTTAAAAAATTTGTTTACAAACTTGATGTAGTGAAACTTGACATTTTGTTTTATTTTTCATCATTCAGCTAAAAAACAAAACACCATAAGTATAACTACACTTCGATTGTCGTTTAGTACTGGACTCAATCATTTACCTACAACCTGTCATTCATCCAAGTTTATTATTACCTTAAGAGAAACAACGAGCGAGAGAGCGCGCGCGAGAGAGAGATGATCATGTTTATTTGTTTGTACTTGTTTTAATTTATAATTCATAAACATTTAATTACTATTTTCACATGTTTCGTTACTCGTGAACTACACAGATGCAGCAAAAATAAAAGATGTGACAAACAAATTGAAATTAAAATGTATGTTTATTACTGAGTTCTTTATTAAAACAATTTTTATTCTATTTTCAAAATAATCAATAATTACTAATTAGATTTTATACACAGCGTACTAATTAAACTATAGAAAGAAAGCGTGAGTCATTTCAAAGAATTATGTTTACCACTTCATGGTTGGTAATAAACAGTCAGGTACGAACACATTATCTAATTTGTAAATTTATTGATAGGATTGTTTTCAGAATGATAGAACATTGTATTTAATGTAACTTTCAGTTAACGTGTAGTAGTGTTGGGATGGCTTCTGAGAACTACGATGCAGCCTCCAGAAGCCCTAAAGGAGCCGAAGAGTTTATATTCAATCAGAACATAATGGAGCTTTTTAAAATATCAATGTGGCATGCTACTGTTAGACAGATTCAGATTCAGATTTCAGATTCAGATTTGTAAAGTAAGGACAGAAGGCCTATGGCCTATGTTATTCCTTTTCTAGTATGCTTCTGTGAGTGTCCAGACTTCTCTTGAACGAGTCAATTGAGGGTGCGGACACCACTACTTCGGGCAGCAGGTTCCAAGTATTGATGACTCAGTGTGAGAACCTGTATGCCACGGGTATTTTGTTCGTTCTTGGCTTTTCTACTCGCCTGCTATGTCCTCTGAGATGTCCCGATCTAGTGGGAAGAAAAAGAGAGAGTAAGTTAGGTCCAAAATCGTTTCTCAGTATTCTGTACATCAAAATTAAATCTCCCCTTAATCTTTGATAGGACAGTGTGAAGAGATCTAGCTTTCCAAGCCACTCTTTGTATGGTAAACCCCGGAGTTCTGGAATTTCACGGGTAGCTGCCCCCTGTACTTTTTCTAGGATATCCGAATCGCCTTTTAAACATGGGCTTGCAGCCTGAACGCAGTTCTCAAGTTTAGTTCTCACTTAAGACGTGTATACTTTGTTGAACATGATAGTATCTAGCTTTGTGAATGTCCGTTTTAAAGCCCAGAGGGTTCGAAACCCCTTAGCTGCGACCTCCCGGCAATGGGTCGTCGTCTTAAGATCCTGACTTACTGTCACCCCCAGATCCTTATGAGACCGAACCACTGGTAATTGCACTTCCCCTATGTTATATCTATTAACATTTGAGTCCTCGAAGTGCATGTAGACACACTTTGCCGCGTTGATAGGCATCAGCCACTCTTTAGACCAGTTAATTATATTATTTAGGTCTGCCTGAAGAGCATCTGAGTCTGTGTCTCCAGTTATTACTCGCCAGATCTTTACATCGTCAGCGTATAATAACATTGTAGACTGTACTTTACTTGGAAGATCATTTACATACAGTGTAAAAAGTAAAGGACCTAGGACGGAACCTTGAGGTGCTCCACTAAGTACTGGTCTCCAGATGGAGCACTTGGAATTTATTCTTACCTTCTGTCTACGACCTACTAGGAAATCCTTAATCCATTTTAAAAGGGGTCCAGCAATACCAAGGTTTTCCAACTTCAGTAAGAGTCTATTTGTTGGCACCTTGTCAAAAGCCTTACTGAAGTCTATGTAGACAACATCCACTGAGTCTCCGTTGTCTAGCACATTTATCCAGAATTCCCTTGCTAAAAGGAGGTTTGTTGTACAGGATAGACCCTTTCTAAAACCATGTTGTTCTATGTTTAACAAGTTATTTGTTTCAATAAATTTCATTATTGTCCTTTTGACACACCTTGATTAAGTGACATATTGAATATCACAGTCAGTGGGGACGCGATATATTGTGCAATATGTCTCAATATTTTAGGGTGTAGTTCATCTGGTCCTGTTGACTTTTCCATGTTTAAGGTGCTAAGAGCCATAAGCACATCGTCTTGGTCAAAGTCCACGGTGAGCAGGTGGTTTATTGACTCTTCATTTTGGTCTGGTTCTTTGTCCAAAGGAGGTTCCTGAGTGAAAACTGCCCAGAAATAGTCAGCCATAGCCTCTGCTTTGTCCTGATCTTCCTCTATCATTTCAGATTCACTCCCTTCTTTAATTAGATTTGGAATCCAATGATGCATCCTTGTTCTGTAGTTTATGTACGAGAATATTCTCTTGGGCTGCTTGAGTGCTGATTGTGCCAACTGCATTTCATATTTTCTTTGAGCTTCTCGAATTTTTGTTATACACTTGTTTCTTACCGATCTGTAGTGTTCCATCGTACCTGCTGTGCCAAGGCGGATGGCGACATCCCAACATTTCCTTTTTTGTCTTATTAAACGTCGAATATCCCTGCTTATCCAGGGATGTCCGTGTTTCTTCTTCTTTGGGACTGTCCATGGTATGTATGGTTGTGTTACTCGGTTGTATAACTGCCTGAAATGCGTCCATGCCTCTTGTACTGATGCTCTTGAGTCAATTTCCCAGTTTTCAGCCGATGCTGCGGAGTTAATGGCCTCCATATCTGCCTTCCATATGTTAGGACGGGCCGGCGCAACTGTTTGACAGGCGATCTCAGCCACGAATTTGAATAAGATGACTGCATGGTCACTTTTCCCTAGCGGTGGGAGGAAATTCATTTGACCAACGTCATCACCGTGTGTGATGACTAAATCTAAAAGAGAGGAGTTTCTTAAGGCATATCTTGTGGGAGTTCTAATATGTTGGAACAAAGCCAAGGCAATCGAGGTTTCTAACAGTTTGCAATCGAATGACGTTATCGATGACCCGACTTCTAAGTTTACCCAGTTTATATACGGTGCGTTAAAGTCGCCTTCTACAAGGCTTTTACCCTTGTTACACCAGGACTTAAGTTCACTTAAGACAAAATCACCTACCACACATTCTGGACTGCTATGCACTACAACTAATTCAATATCTTGCCGTCTACATTTCAGCCTACATCGCACCAATTCACATGTCTCTGAAACATGTGCTACTGTTTCAGCTACTCTTATGGTTAGGGTACTTTTCGTGTACAGGATTGCCCCGCCTCCCATACGATTTGATCTATCAGCCCTACTGGATAGAAAACCAGTCAACTGAATTTCATTATCTAATACTTCTGATGTTAACGAAGTTTCTGAGACAGCAATAACATTCTGTTTTTCTTTATCCGCCATTTTATTTAGTACTCTGCGAGCATTTGTGTAGCATACATTTAAGTCTGTGGAGAACTTTCCCTTACCACCCAGAGTGGTTTGGGGATCGTTTACAATTTGAAAACCCTTAAGAATGAGGTTTCTTTCGCCGTTTCGGCGACGCTCATTTATTTCCACTTCTGCAGCTCGTCTCTTAATACGATCAGCTAGGCTGAGATCCTCACGGACATATATTCCGGATCCAATCAGTTTGCGTGAGTTACCCAAAATCAGGTTCCTTTCTTCAACCGTGGCAAATGTTACCTTCAAGAGGCGGTTTTTCTGAGGGCTTTCAGAATCCACCTTTCGTCCTATTCTATAAAGCTTACAAATGCTAACTCCTGAAACGGTATCTGGGAGTAGTTTTCTTATTAAGGACTTAATGTGACTGAAGTCGTGTTCGAATCTAGCCTTTGGTTCCTTATCGGAAGATTCTCTTAACTTATGAAAAATGACTGACCTCTCAGAGAGATCTGTCTTGACACTCAGTGGAATTTTTGTTTCTGATACCGTCTCTTCCAATGACTTGCTAACCAGCTGCGGTTTGCCTACAACTTTTTTCTTCTCATTTCTTTTTCTCCGTGCTGAAGTCCATTTATCCTCACTCAGGACAGCCACACTGGGACTATTTGGAACGATGACAGTGTTATCCGGGTCTTCAATTTCCACTAAAGGTGTATGATTTCCAATGTCAATATTTAGCGGCACTTCACTCCTCGTTAATGTTAACGGTGTTTTTAATTTTCCATCAATCACAATCGGTTGTTTAACGTGTCCGGTAGCAGCACTTACTACACTGACACATTCTTCACTGTCAGTGCTCGTGGTGTCAGAACAACTGCAATCGTTTTTCTTACAGGCCAAAGCTAATAGGCTCATAACCTCCTGGATTAGTAACTTTTTATTTGTACAGCAAAACATACAAAGCCAATGCGAGTTTGGCTTCGAGCATCTTTTGTATGCCGTAGGACTTAGACGGGTACACATCTTATGGTACCACTTTTTACATTCACCGCACTGCATTCCTTCCTCAACGGGGAACAAGCACTTCGGTTGTCCACATTTATAAGTCTTACTAACCATTGTAATTTGATTTAAAACTTTTAAAACACACTATGATCACAACGTGAACACGAGTGTCAGTCAATGAGTAAGCAAGAGGGCACCACAAGACGAAGTTTAGAAAAAATCTAAAACTATGACCAAAGTACTTTTAGTCGAAGTAGACTAAGAATGCTTTCTGTTTCCACTAGTACACAAAGCAATGATAATCACAACTAGTACAAAAATCACTCCCCTATTTGCGGATTGGCTGATATAACAAACGCTAATATCGAGAAATACTCATGATTTCCCGAACATTTTGATCCTTACACAACAAGCACTTCTCCAGTCTTCTTCTGCTTTTTTATTTGTGACTGTGGGGGTTCTATACGTTCAAGTGCCGTAGTTGTATATTGTAAAGTGGCAGTTGGAGATAGTTGGCAGGTAATTCTGAATCTAGGTTTCATGACATCTGGAACTCATCAGAAAGATATGGCTGTAAACTAAAGTGATACTCTACGACGAATTCAATCGAGTGCCTCTCGGCTTCACAATCAAAATCGTTGCTAATGAATGGCTCCCAGATAGCTCAGTGTCAATATCTCTGATTGTGGAGCTAGGTGATATTCGATCGAATTCTCCAAGGAGTATCACATCTTGCTGACGAGTGCCGAATAGCACGAAACCTAGGTCCAATGTTTCCTGTAAATTACCTCCAATTACCAACTTACATTTGATGTACTCATATATATCGGCAAATGTAATAGGGAGATAATGTATAGTTATATTAATAAGGAGATATTTTTGCATTAGTTGTTTTCGTAAAAATGCTTGAACTTATTTATCAAGCGAGACTTTGGAATTCTCCAAATTTTAAATCCCTGAATTTTTAAATATAATTTTATTGTTTAATGACGACAATAAGATAATGATATTTCAAAGGGGCAGAAAATTGAATTTTTCGACCCTTCCATTCATTGCAATACGACGAACATATCATTCTTTAATGCTTATAAACATATCCAACGCTCAATTTATTTAAAATTATTCAATCAAACCTTGGTGATATCATTTACTAATTTAAAGACAAAAGTATGCCGTTTAAATTACTTGACTTAAGGTTAATTTAATACAAAGATCTTCAAACATTTTTAATAGTCAATATCAACATGATCAGTTCATCATAGTCACTGACTACATTTATAAGCTTAAATTTCAATTAGCTACATTTTTTCACATAATCATAGAAGATGGATTTCATTTTAGTCAATAACACTTGATAGCAACATCTATAAAGCTGGATTGACTTTGTTGAAATAATTTTTACTATCTTTCTATATCGTTTTTCAATAAAATCTACTTGTATCTGGTGGTTTAAGTGTTCAGTGCATCTATATTTTTGCAATAAATATGAAATTAGCTAAGCTGTGACAATATATAATACTTCTTCCTAACTCGATTAAATAAAGTCAACCATCCATGAGACAAAGTATATAGATTATTCGGTGTCAATCTCAACTGAGTAGGAATATTTAAATACGTATCAGATTATAATTTATGAACTGCCTTTGGGCGACGCTAAAGTGACCTTGAGAACGTTCATTTACTAATCAGGGCTAAATGAGAGCTATATACTAATGTGAGGAATAAAGCTTATGATTTGCAGTTGATGGTTAGGGTGCAAAACTAGATTTAGAATCTATTTTGCCTCGAAATTCAAGACTTGTTGTTCTGAATCTGATCGGATCGACCAAACTTTATAATCCTGCTCAGAAGGCTAGTGTTGCCACTTTATTCAACATTTGCCACAGGATTGTCAGAAATTTATTGAATATAAATGTAGTTTACCGGTATTCGGTCATCTTATATTCATGAATGTTACTTGATATAAAAGTGAAACGGTAATAATTTATAGTGTAGCCGGTAGATATTGCAAATTTCAAAAGCCATACGCACTTTTTAGACATATATATATATATATAGTTAGCGTTATTGATATATAAAATTGGTTTTGAAACAAAAATAAAATATAGGAGTTCCACATTTAGAAAGGCTGACAAAAAATGTGTTTAATCTTCTACAGCACATTCTACTTAGTATTGTAGTATTATTCGGAAAACAACTTTTCATAGCTTACTTGTTCACGTCGAACTATTACCAACCATGCTGGTAGATAGATCAAGTTTGTCCCACGACTTTTACTTTCAGTCTTCTTTTCAAATGTCGGTAGATTCTTATCGCAACTGCTCTCTTTACAGGAGATATTAGTGGTATTTGAGTTCAATTTCTTATCTTCTGATAGTGATGTACCGTAATTTGATTTGAAATATATTGACGTTTTCACCAGACTTATGGCTACTGCTCCATCATTAGGAATAATACCGAACCAATTTTGATGTTGATCACCTAAGGATTATAAACGATGAATGTAAGTCAAAACAGTATATGTTTCACTAATTTAATAAGTCGGCCTACTATCAGTTAGGTTATGTATAAAGAGATGTAGATTCATTTCTAGATGTTCTATTTCGAAATTTCCTGATACGTTAGAAATACTTCTGAGTATCATTACCCAATAAATTATAAATAAAACTATTACTAAGTGTATTTGGGGTACATCTAATTATCGAGACGCTATGAACAAAACGTTTGCAAAATCCACTTAACTTACTGTCTTTTCGTCTTTTCTTCTTACTGTTGGATTTTAGAAAATAAAGTAATTATACAGCAGTATCCAAATCCAAATCAGTATATGTTAAGTTGTTTTCCGAACTAAAAGTTTTGATTACTCTGTTAACTATTGAATGGTTAAGATAGTCTATGAGCTACTACAAAAATGGGTATCTTCTAATTTAGACACATCATTAAAACATATCCTGGAACTTTAAGAAGTTTAAAAGTTTGAATCTGCAGTTTTTGGTGAGAGAATTACGAATAACAACCACCAGCTATTCAGCATTTCAACTTAAATCCAAAAGTCACAGCTGGAGACGAAAACAATCTACGACACTCATTCCTTAAAGTCTGAACATTTAACGGCCCCAGCTAGAGTAAGCCCAAAATCGAGTCTGACCAAAGATCTAAAAATACCCTAGTGATAGCAAACTACACTTTACCATAAATTGACTCATTCTCTCTCGGTCACTTTATTAGTATATCCACTTTTCTTTCTAACTCTTTAGTTATATTAAGCACTTATCGTGAATTACCCATTTGGTCTCTAATGGAAAGTATTGGTTATTAAATGTTTTTAACAATCTTTTAAAGAGAAGAATTACATCATGGTTGTCTATAAACCATTTCTAGGACGACCAATTTTTTGCATCAAAATGTTTTTTTATTTCAAATATGAAAAAAGGCAGAAATTACGACAAATACAATGTAATAACGACGATTATGTGCAGGTTTATAAACGAATCTTAAAGATAAAACATGAAAATGTAAGTAATAGGATATGGTTACTGAGTATAATGTCTAAGAATTGTAAAAATCAGTATGGTCATTGCTTTGAATTCCTTGATACAATGATATGAATTAAATGGTCTGTTTGATAGGAAACAAATATCATATTTTTGAAATTTCCAAACATTAGTATGCAATGTGATGAAGAGTTATACATTCTTTAATTGTATGGATACACAAAATTCAAGAATAAAGCTAATGGGTTGGTTGATCTGAGCTGATCCTTGAATAATATACACTTCAGAAGATTTATTTTTAATATAGAACGAGTAACAAGCGTTCACATTCTATGATATCTGGAAACTGATATTTTTGGATTTTTGGTTTCCGCAGGTTTAGTTTGCATTAAAGTCATACGAAAATACTAAATTGTTATAGTCATCTTTTATTTAAACAAGAATTATAAAACTGAAGTTTATACTTAATAGAGCAAGGATGAAAATCTAAAAACAATTAAGTGATCTACTTTTATGTTGCTAGATTCTCGTTAGTTGCTTACAATCCGCAGTGAAATATTTTAATCGTAATAAAATTATCTAAACTTTAATTCTACTGTGGTGATGCATACACATGTCTAACCAAAGTTCTTTGTATGTTGACTTTAAGATAATTCTGACTGAAAAATATTACGGATTTTAAAAAGCCGATGGGAACCTAACGAGGTAGAAAAAGTTATTTTATTCTGTCCATATCTTTGATTTAGCTACTTTTACTATAAAAAAGCTATACGCATAAATTTATTCTTGTATTTCTTTGATTAAGTATTTGCAAGCCATGGAAATCTTGAAGTGGATTAATTCAACACATATAGCGTTAACGCCTTTTACTGTGTCGAATTTACACACAATATGTAGTGATTATTCTTACGAATATTCTGCTTATTTCTAGCACGATGTGCCAATGTACCTTCCGCAACACAAACCCAAGCTCCCAATTTTGGGGAAAATTTTACCTATTTTGGGGAAGCCGCCATTATAAACTTTGGGGAAATTTTGGGGAAATGGCACAAAAACCCCAAAATTTCCCCAACGTTTGGGGATTTACCCAAAATTTCCCCAAAGCTCCCCAAAATTTCCCCAAAATTGGGAGCTTGGGAAGCTACACGAACGTAAGTAAAAAGAATTATTTCAAACTCACCACAACTAAAAATCGAGTTTCTGTAAAAGCAAGCACCTGAATCTCTGTATTCAAAGTCATAATAATCCATATGTTCAGATCCTACTTGGCTAGAGCACAGTTTCGAAAAATTCACTGTATATCTGTGAGCCGGATACGGATATTTATCATTATTTTCCTTTTCTTCAACGACAAATTTGCTCGATTCTGCAACCAAATTGTATATATTTTTTTTGCTTCCCTTTGGCTTCTGATCAGGAGAATCAGTACTGATTTCGGCTGAAGCAAGTTTTCTATGACTTGATAAGAGACTGTGACTCATGCTGCGAGAATCATAGTGCAAAGTGACAAACATTTCAGAGCTTGCTGAAAGATCCTCTCTTACATATTTTGTAAATGTATCTGTTGTGAATGTAAAATGAACGTTATTTGAGTTAAATGAAGGATTCAAATTCGTAAAAACACCTATTCGTTCACTGGAAGACATATTGAATATAACCTACATGTTGTAAGTGGTCAAATTCTGTGTTGTCTTTGTAAACATATTATTTGAACAATCAAGGTAACGTTTAATTTTTCGATTGGAAAATCGTATTTTATGGTGAAAATGATGAAAAATTTAATTCTGAAGCGTTCTAATACTGCGAAAAGCTTGATTTTTTGCAATTATGTGCTAATTAAGAACTCATCGAGATTTGACTCCAAATATTAAACAACGATGAATTATAATACGAACACGTTTTAACCCTGAGCAATGAAATACAAGTCACTTTTTGAATACATTCTTCTCATGCGTTATTTGAGAGTCGATTATCCAAAGGAATTCCGGTGACTTTTTATGATCCACACATTAACGCATATATCGATACTGATATTTTGAAAATGCAACCTAGGCTAACGATTGACCTTACTAGGATAAAAAACGATTGCTTATTCAAACAATAAACAGCCAATATAATAAACAGTATACAGCAATAAATTTTAAACAGATAAATTGATGTTGGATTCCTAATTTTGCAGTTATTTTGATGTCTTTCTACCTTTAGCATTTCTGTAAATCGAAAAAGAGAAAACGTATACTGAATATTATCAGAAGGGGTTTTGTAGAAATTGAAGTAATTTCAATGGGTAAGATCATGAGTCAGTTGAAGCTAGGCCACCATGGACAACCTGAAAGAACTGGACGGCCGTTGCGTTCTATTGTGGGACTCCTCAGCAGTGCGCATCCACGACTTAATACATAACTTGTTCAAATGGTTCAAATGTTTGCGTACGGAATAGAAGAAGATTTAGCTTAACGGGCCTCGTATCAAGTAGTGTTGGATCACCAGTCCCTCTAGGCAGGAACCTAGGTATATTATTGTGTAGTGACCTACTTTTATCAGGAGAACGCGATTGGTGTAATGGAAACAATTATTATTATAACCAATTTAACCAAGGATTGTTTTACCGTACTGGTTGGTTTAACTGTTTCAAAATACATACATTTTTCCGTTGATTGTGACCTTGCACGAATTCGGTTAAGCTCAGTATACCCACTTGTAACCTGGCATGATCTCGGTATTCTTTCGATACCACGAGGTTGTCAACAAATACACCTCGACTTCAGCCATCAACTGCCTATTGATATTTGGCCTACGGGGGATCTTATCGGTTAGCTGGCACGTAGTCTTCTTGCAGTGGTGATCATAGTCAAACGCTACTCGACGCCACACTACAAATCGATGAAAAAAGAAATTGCCAAACCGCAGTAAGATATTATCCTTAGTCTTCAAGAATAGGTCAAGCTTCATCTTATAGGCTCAGTTGGCGGCGAATTTCAGAATTTGACAACTTTTAAGGAATAGAAGTTTTCTGTTGTCCGTTCCGCTGTGTTGTGTCTCTAGTTTCTGGGTGTTACTTTTTAGGTTTGTGTTGGAACTAAACTTAGGTAGGTGTTTTATGGGATGTCCAAAAGTGTTAAGGACACTGTAAGCCATCAAAAGATAACCTCTAAGACGCCTATAATAAAATGTGTAATAGTTTAATGAATAGAGACGCTCTTTATAAGGCTTGAATTTGAGTTTACGAACTGATTCGGTGACTCGCCGTTGGATACTCTCCAGAGTGTCCTTATCCTTCTGGAGTGGTGGGGGAAATACTGTGTTTCCGTACCGTAAATGGAGACGAATAAAACTTTTGAACTTTATGTAGAAAGTTCTTCCGTGAAGCTAGCCAAAAATAAGCTTCAATATTACAAGTGTAAAGTTTGCTCGAAAGGCATTTTTATCACGGTTAGTGTAAAACTTCAAATCGTAGGGTACGAGAACTCCTAAATCTTTTACAACTTGCGATACCTGTAGAGAGAAGTTCCTTAAGTTGTAACTGTAGTCTGCAACATGTAGCAGGTGGACTGCCGTTCACTTTGAAGTGTTAGAGGTAATTCCCTTGTCATCTGACCAACTTTGGAATCGAGTCATATCCCCCTGAAGTGCTAGTATATCCTCTTGGTTGTGTATCTCTCTAAAGTTTCACATCATTAGCAAAAAGTAATGTCAAACGATACCTGTTGTGGAAGGTTGTCTATATAAATCAAGAAAAGAAGAGGTCCTAAAACCGAATCCTGGGGCAACCCACTTGGACACTCCATGTACTGAGGGAAGGTGAAGTTAGCACTGGCCTTAAAATACCGAGTTTTTAGATGTGAAGTGAGCCAACCAATTACAGATGGTTTGTAGAGGAAAATTTCCTCATAATCTGACACCAATATATAATATTTCGTTAACTGAGTATTTAATGCAGGCTAAATCACCTAGAAGAACTATCGATTTACTCGAGATTATTCAAAAGCCCAAACGTCAGTTACAGAGATAGTTGATTGTTAAAGATTGCTAAAATCTGCAAGCGTACAGCAAGCAAACACGCAGGGAAACCACAAGTGTGTGTGTGTGAGTGCTAATGAGTGAGTGTTCAAAAATCCATATATACATATATATATATATATATATATATATAAATCAATTCCAGATGAGTTATTGATTGTCTGTGTATTACAATCGATGGAAGAATAGATTAAAAATTGACATGTGCTCAATCAGATTCACACAAAAAATTACATGGTGAATCGAGTGTCTAAATCACATTGAGCAAATAAATAAAACAGCAGTGGAATGTGATTACTACAGATTTGATACCTAATCGTTTGAGCCTATTGATAAGACATATATAAGCTTTTTAGAAGTCAAGGTAAATGACGTCAACCTTCCCTTTGCGATTAAGGATCGTTGTCCATCTGTCCACCTCAGTCAGCAGGTTAGTTGAACAAGAATGACCCTTCCTGAAACCAAGCTGTTGGGGTGAAAAGAAGTCTAACTATAATAAATAGTTGTGTACACCGTGTCATATAAAGAACTCTATAATTTCTGATAGTATAGAGAGAACTGCTAGCAGTCGGTAGCTCGAAGGTTAGCTGTGTCAACATTCTTTGAAGATTGGTGTGATGTGAGCCAGCTTCCAAATATCCGGTAATGTGCCTCAGCTAAGCGAGTGTGAGGACATCACGCTAAGTGGTGTTGCCAGGATTGAAGCTGCTTCCCTCAATATACGAGAATGGACCATGTTCGGACCAGTTTCCCGTACACCAAGTGAGCTCTCAGGTCCACTTCGAAAATTCCTGTGGAGTTGCAGATGATGCTTTCATCAATATAGCTGTTATGGGTCGGTTGAAAAGTTCGTGATTACTGTTCAGCCAGAAGTTTAGCGGCATAACCATCGTTATTGGTCGGACCATCAGGACTTAACAGTTCTAAAACTCCAGTTTTGGCTTGACGAAGAGAGGCTGCATAACAAAATAAGCTTTTTGGATTAGAGACAAATTTATGTACAAGCTTTATCTGATACTGAAGACCGTCTTGTTTTGTTGCCTTTGTGCGTGTGTTCTTTATATGTCTATGCTGCCTGTACGCTCCGTTGCTATCTGTTCGTTTGTAATCCGTCCAGAAGTGCTTTTCAAGGCTTAGAAAACAGTGCTATTGTTAATAATTGTAGGCTGCTTGTAGATTTTGTGGACCGCTTGTGGAACATGACTGCTTTGTAGCAGTTGTAAATCCCAATGAGAGTCAACATCAAGTTGATAATGAATTTCCCAGTCCACCTGTTGTAGATTATCATGTACAGCTGACACATCCAACCGTCTGGAATTCTAGCACCTTTCGTTGGTAGGATGTGTGAGCTCAGTTTTGCCGATAAAGCTGAAGGCTATGACGGCGTGGTCACTTCTCCCCAGGATAGCCAGGATTAAGAGTTTGTCAACTAGGAATTCTTCGTTTGTAAATACCCAGTCTAAGCGCGATGGTATCTGACTGTTTCTCTAGAAAGTTACCGACTTCACGTTTCCGAAAAATTCCAGATCCTCAATGAAGTTGAAGAACTGAGCTTCAACAGTTTTCACCTTCAATATACGTGTGTTCCACTAAACTGAATTAAGGAAGATTGAATTGTAGTATAAGTTAACCCACACCGGAACTCAGTATTTGAGAAAATGCGTGAATCTCATACAAAAAGTTTGGTCATAGTGAATATTATAAAAGAGGCATGGTGTTGTATTTCAATAAACAACTTGGAGGTTAAAAAACAACACAAGTGTCTATACTTTTAACATGAGGCTAGAGCTTGCTCAAGTCAACACAACCTTGGATTGTTTGGAAATGATCTGTAAAATATTACGTCTCTAGTTAAGCTCAACTGCCACTAACAGCGGCTCGTATCAGTATTTGTAAGCTCTGTAATACTGAAAGACAGTCAGAATCAAACAGTTCAAAGGGTTAAAGATTTACTAATAAATTCCCGATTCAATCGTCTAAATTGGCTTCATATTAGGAAATGAGTAGTAGTAAGATAGAAAATAGATCATTGCCCACGTATGTCGTAATCTCTCTGATCGTCTTGATATACAGTTTACGGAAGGAGATATAAATGAACGCCTTTGAAACCGACAACGAATAACTGATTTTCGCGTGTTTTTGTATGCTTAAGGCCTGAAGAGAAAAAGTATTGAAGTCACTGTGTGTTACACAAAGAGGTATCGTACTAAACTGACGGTTCGTTTTATCAGTACTTACAAAATTCAAAATATGTTGGTGAGACTCACAATCATAGTTCACACAGAAAATCCAGATATAGTTCCCCTCTCTCACAGCTGATGAAAGAAAACTGGTGGTAACAAATCCCTGGATGTTGGACAGGTTATGCCAAATTAAGGGCGAATTCTTATTTAATTTTATATTTGTCGGGTAACTTATCCAAACGCTTATTTAAAAAGTGGCGGACGGTTCAGAATTCGGCAATCTGGCTCTATGTAGGCAGAAATTCGGGGCCGAAATGCAGGATTATTTGTAGTGTACCGTGGCTGTGAATATGCAGCAGATAAGTTTATTTTAATAAAGTTTTGTCTAATGAAAACCTGTTAAGAGGTCAGTATCAATGTCGGAGACTTAAGAACTACTTAGTTTGGGGATTCATTTACCGCTATACGTTAAATGTCGCAGTAATTTGTCAAACGATCAGATTTCCATGCGTAATTCCTTTAATTCCCCAAGAGTTTTCAAGAAGTATACTGAATGAATAAAACTCTGACTGCATCATCCAGGCTTATCAAAGTTTAATAGGTATTTTGGCGGAATCCCAACAGATAAGTTGAATCAAATTAAACGGACTTTAACTACTTTTTAAATACTTCTTAGATTGATCTCTAAGAAGCGAATTGTCAAGTTATGTACGTATGTATGTGGTGTATGTATGAACTAACAATTCGTTGGTACTTGTTAAACTCTTGATTTTGAATTCCAAATTCAGTACATTCGTTCGTGTTTATATAGCACTTCTTGATTCAATTGAGTAATTTCTGGGATTCTTTGTTCATACTATTATTCAAATACTTATAATTATCACAATGTACTACAAGTAATTCCAGCGGCACATGATCAAATCAATACTTAGAAATAACCTACGTTCTTGATTTGAAATTTGTTGAATAAATTTGAATGTCAACAGTAGGCTTAATTTGCTTTTCGGATGATTATTCGTTCACACACTTAGCTAAGGCATTTATTCGGAAACATTTTCAACGAAGTGAGCCCAACAATGGTTAAATACTTGTAGATCACCAGCGTGGATGATCTACGTCGAAATTATTGGAGGCTTACTCGAGTTAGACGTGAGTGGTGTGACAAACTAGCTAACGTCGAAGTCACACTTCGCGGTCTGCACCTTACATAGATTACCCCATTGACGTATCAAGGTACTATAGATGCTTTGAAGACTGTACAACACAGAGGACGTTATTACAGAAATATATTAGTTAAAGCAGATACAAGCGAAGGTAAGACCACTGCCGCATGGGCCAGTCCGTGGCGTACGATTAACTCATGCGCGATGGTTGTCCTTGACATTGACGAGGATTGATGATTTTATTCGATATTCAATGGCTAGGGCTTAGTGGAATTTCACTGGCCCTACAATCTGACCAGTACCTCGTAACCTATACGATTGGTTATCTTTATAGCAACGTCATATACTAACTAGATGTATAAACCACAATACAAAAGCCTTTGCTGTTTGATTCGCTTGTAACGGGGGAGTGGAATTTCACTGGCCCTACATACTAAACACGGCAATTTACTTAGGTAAATTAAATTATAAAAACTGTCACAACGACAATTTTTTCTGAAACGCTAAGGCATTTATAGTTACTGAGGAAGTTTGTAGCTTGGGAAAAGATTCTGAAGTTCTTTTATAAGTAGTAGCAATGGGTGTGCAGTTATTTATCTACAAGTGAAATAAAAGCCTACGTCAAGAGCAATATGGGGTTGATGAACATACACTAAATTTATCACACCAAAGATGAGATAAAAAATCATTCACCATAGTATCAGTATTATATGATAAGTAACCAGTGTTACGAAACAAGTGTTGATCTTACTTTGTGTTAGGTAAATTACGTTTTTTCGAAACCTTGGTCTCTTGGTGCCTTATCAGAAGTATTAAGTCTTAACGTTTGTATTAAGGTGCAAAACGCATCTTCAGTTTTTCGTTGTCACACGACGGTGCTTCTTGCTAGAACGAATCTCAACATGTTTGATTTTGTAAACAGTTGATATGTTTTGACATTCCAATCAAACTTACCACTTATATTAACATTAAAATGTATATGAGAAAACCTCTTACGTCATTTTAATCGATTCTGCCTTTAGCATAAAATGTCACGATTCTGAGTTATGTTTTAAGCATTAAGTACAACTTGGTGAACAGTTAGATGCGAAGTCATATAAGATATGCATCAAAAATATGTATTTAAAGTTGTTGTATTACAGAAGTAAAACCTAAAGTATATCTAAGGATTCTCAGATGTCTCACTGTTACTCCAGACGCTGCACCTGGAGTTGCAGACACTAATCTCGACTATCATAAACGTTATGCTCAAAAGACATGCAAACTTTAGTATAGTATATTTCATTTATACCGAGACGAGACTAGGGTGATATATGTACGAACATCCAAAATGCGTCGAGATTCTAGATATTCGCCAGAATGTATAACTGCGTATTTCTAGATACTTAACCACATCAAGATTGACTATACTGGAATCATATACTGAAAATCAAGTGAACCACTTATTTTTGGATACATATATCTCATACGGTTCCTTTTTATGAAAGATTAGCCAAAATCTGAACAGAGGGCATGTACTACACTTTCATTTTTTACAATTCACGATTTAACTAATCAGAAATATAGAAATTACTTACACCTGTATTTATTGTGAAGTCAAAGAAGGCACTAATTTATTACTTCAAGAGATTCTAAAGTGATAGTCGGGTCCTTTTCTATGTGACTCCCATCCACTTTCAGGGATTGTAAAGCTGTCAGAAAACGTAAATACTTTACGGGTGCGTTACCAAAATAATCCATACTGTTGTATTACCTGTTATGATGAGAGAATAACACATCATTGAGGTCAGTGTAATACAACTAAGGAACTGATAAGGGCTCATTAAGCTAATATTTTGAAAGGCCTTAGTACTGATTTGCATGCCATTTCACCTTCGATCTACTGGTTGTCAAAAAAGTTTCAGCAGCTATATTTAGTAACACGTACTTGTAATAACGCAATTTATTCAATATAATACAGTGAAAAATATTGCCGTTATGCTTCTTACGTCAACGTAGACCTTAAAGCTTTTGTAATGTGGATGGCCAGCGAAGATGATCTATGTCGAATGATTGAGAGCCAACTTCAGTTAGACAGGAATAATGTATCCAACATCCAACTTCAAAGTCACACCTCATGGTCAGCACCTAACGTGGATTACCCCTTCGTCGTACCAAGGTACTATGGCTGCCGTGAGGACCATATAACACCAAAGATATTACTACAGAAATATATTAGTTAGAATAGGTACAAGCGAAAGTCCGATCACTACCACATTGGTTAGTTCGAGTCGTGAGACTAACTGATGCGTGTTGGTTATCCTCGACCCAGCTTAAAATGAACTAACTAAATGTTTTCAGGCTGTAATATATGAAATGTATAGTATGCGTTTGAGCATTACTCCAGCTAGTACTTATCAGCAAGTGAAATACACAGCCAGATACACACACTACTCTGTTTATCCATGAAATTAATCACTATTATAAACAGAAACACTATTACCGCTATATGTCAGTTTAAATCATAAACAACAACTGAGTGGCATTTGGTGGTGATTTTATCAGTAAATTCCATAGCATCCATCTTATAAAATGTTATAACATTGCGGTCAACCGAATTTTAATATTAAGAAAGTCAGAGACGATCGTTGAGACATACTCATTAGTTACATTACGATTCAGATAGAATATTTAACTGATGGACAAAAAAATATAACTGAATATATTCATACATTCACACGGAAACACGCAATTTAAAATTAAAGACTAAGAAATGAACTAAATTGAAAAAAAGATTAAAAGAGAAACACAGAAATAATAAGACTATATTCACAAACAAAATGAAATAAAGTCAAACTCATATTATTGAAAATATGAAATGGTTACTGATTAAAATAAATAAGCAAGTAGTATATGATTAACAAGTGTTCCCCATTCATTTAAACCAAATTTTCATGTAATACCAACAAATAACATACAGAATGAAAAAGAAATCGAAAAATATTTTGACAAGAAAACAAACAAAGCATACACACAACGTAAATGCAAACACAAAGTGAATATAATATTTCATAAAATAACAAAATAATCATAAAATATACAAAACGATACAATAAAAGGAATATAATAAACATTTAAAATTGAACAAACGAACAACATGAATAAATGCAGTAAAACAAATAACATTTATGTGAAATAATAAAAGCAAGATTCTAATGTCAAATTGAACACATTGAATATACCATTGAGAAATGGAAGATATTAAAACTTAAATGAAATTTAGTTTATTCATTATTGTTTATTAATTGATGTGATTGTAAGAAGGAAAGTGAGTAAAGTAGATAGGAAGCTCCAATAAAAGATATTTTGTTGTTAAAAGGGATTACATATTTCCAACTTTATTATTATTATTGTAATTAATAATTAGGTAGATAGTTAGCTATTGAATACCTGAAGAAAATAAACGAAACAAAATAATATGAATTAATCATTTAGAAATTACTGATTGCATGTGAATACGAATAGAACTGATAGATAAAACAAACAGACGTACACATCCAAACTGAGATAGTTCATTTATTTTTGAAGTATTCAAACGTTATCGCGTTGTCAACTTAGCTACTGAGTCTAGATAGACACTAGCTTGAGAAGATTCAAATAATCAATGCAAAAATGAATTAAGCTTCACCTTATTGAACAAGATAGTAGCTATCTGGACCAAGTAGCTAAGTGGACAATGTGATGACGTTTGAAGCGAACCGTACCGGGTTGAAGTCCCGGAATGAACATCAACTCTGAAATGCTTGTACATCCAGCTGACGAGTCCCGAATAAGCTGAAAAGCACATTCTGGATTCCACTGCTAACCACCATCATTTCTGCTTATAATGAAATGGTTCATCTTAGTAAAAAAGAGGAGAATAATATGATGAAGAACACAAGTGTAAATAATACTGAATAATTAAAAAAATAGTCAAATAGAAGTAGGTGTTGAATTGTTGCAAACCAAATTATTATAATAATATGCAATAACCAAAGTATTAAGAACTTCTATTATAAAAATAAGAATAACCGACATATAAGTGAACGAATATTGTTTTCAATCAGATCGTCACCACGTTTTAGTTTAGAATATACATGAATATTTATATGTATAGATGAAAATATTAAAGTAATCGAGTTAATTTATCAATGAATGATCACAGTCATATAGACTGTATAACTACACACAATAGATCAAAAGTACAAATTGATAGTAATAATACATGTGCACTATTAGTAGCCAATAAGTCAGTCAGTATTTCAACATTGAAAGTAGTAGGTTTCACTTAAGATATGAAACATTGGTCAGAACTTTTGTTATCTCATTATATTTATCACTACTACTAGTACACCTGTCTTATGACCATCAATTTGTACTTTTGATCTATTGTGTGTAGTTAGTTGTACTGTTGGACCAACAGATTTTTACTTGTAGTTATTATTATAATAAATGGTTATATTAAGAATCAACATTGTATATTGATCAGTATGGCCTCTGCTATGTCATTCGGATAATCTTTTCAAATTATTTATCCTACAGATACGATAATTGGTAATAACTATTGAATAAAACTTGTTATTTTAGTGATGGATTCATTGAAAAATTAGATAAAGAGTTGTAATTTTTGTTACACAACAATTCTTTGCAGTCAAAGGTCAACTGCACTCTTTAAATATATCTAGAGTTTATTAAAGTGAGCTGAAACATACCTTTCGGTAGACCGTATTAATTAAACAGAACAGATCATTTTACGATGAAAAAGCAATGTAATGTCTTGTTTATTCTCCAATGTTTGAATCAATTTAGTCGATTAAAAGAATACAATTTTATCTAATTACCACTATGAAGTGTGTGATATTGTAGCAGAAAGTCAATGGGAATAAATAGACTGAAGCCCCAGAAACTTTCATTTAATACAAAAACATTCATCACCAGATTTACAAAATGCTATTTCATGGTACTGGTGAAATTCTGACAGCTATATGTGCAACTTTTGGACAAATAAATGTAGTGAATGTTAGTTAGATTCAAAATCACATTAATAGCAATAAAGTTTTCAGTACAATTTCATCCTCTGAGCTGAATTGTTTAGTCATGATGCTATCATTGTTCTTCTGCACAATATCATCATCAGAACAAACTTCAGGTAGAAATAGGGTATTTGAAAAGTCGATGATTAAAACCAACTGATTACAAGAATGAAACTTCACCTGAAAAAAACTACTATTCGATATTCTAGGTCTTTCTGTAATCAGAATTTCGAAGACAAATCAGATGATTTAATATTTTATCTACTTTAAAGTTGATAAACTTTAACGTACTGGATAGTTACTGGCGATAAAATTTGTATTCCGAATATTCACATTATTTTTGATTAGTTTAGTGTTTTATAACATAAATGTTGTATGATTATTTTGTACGCGCTTTAATTTATAGAATTTCAATTGAATATATCATGAATGATCATCTGAAGAGAATAGGCTTATGTGTAGATTCTAAAAATATTATAGATTTCAATGTTATTTTCTAATTAAATCCTTATCGAAAATGTTTACAGTATATTATACAGTAACTGACATTTATATACATACGTGAAAAAGATACAATTAATCAATGTAAATTGTAAAACAATAACAACTATATCACATCGATTACACAATAAGTTATAATGAATTTTATTTTAGATAATGTAATTTAATAAACCTGTACATTCGTATTTAAAGTTGTTTTGATATATGATAGAAATTAGTTTAAAAAGCCTTAGAGGTGAGTAACAGTTAAAGGGAGAGGATATGAAGACTACTTACTTAAGGAACAAAAAGATATAAAAAAAGATGAACAGATACTAAAAGCAATTTAAGAAGAGATTGTTAGGATCACAGTTACAGAAGCGATTGAATGCATCACTTCTGAGCAAAAGGATCAAACTTAAATTGATAGGCTGTAAAATCTTCCGTTATGAGTTTTGAGTGAATAATCTAATGGACATGGACGATCGTTATTAACCGGATGTTCAACAACAGAACTGATAATTACGTTTTTAAAAATCACTATTACTATGTAGTTTTAGTAAAACATATCATTGAACACAATATTTGTTTCACTGAACTGTTTTTATTTTGCTTAGTAACGTAATTGGTGTCTTCTGTCGTTATAATATGTTAGAAGCAAAAGATAATTGATAGTATAACCATAAGTGTATAACAAATAGCATAATAAGGTAATCAATTATTTTGCCTTTCAAAGTAGGTCAATACATGTGATAGAAATAAATGTACTGAAATTAAAATCAGGAAATGTTATAGAATTCTAAGCAAAAATGGGAAGTGCGTAGGTAGTCAATTTGAATGTACACAATAAATTACCAAATAAGTGGTGGGTAAATTATTGAATTCCACAATGGATGTGTGCTACTGAGACAACCCATACTAGGACGACGAAACAGACGTTTAGTGCTTCCAAGTTTTCAATATTAGTCTAACTATGATCAGTTCGTGATTTAAGGAAATGGGCTATTATGTGATACAGCGCTTAAGATTATGAGAAATAATAATAGTTTAGCAGTAATATTCTGAAATAAAGTAATTGTAAGAACTAAGGGAAAAATGAATGCATACAATTACTTGCTAATTTACAATGTAGGTATCATAAAACAAAATGTACACAGAATAAGATTTAGCAAGGACTAGCAATGACAGAAAGTGTTAACTATTATGGATTGCTAGCTCTAAGTGATATATGGTGTGTATTTGAATGGACATTTTAGTGACTACCCGAAAATTAACAGTTGCATTTCAAAATAGTCGGTTAATATTGAGGAGAAAAGGAACATACTATTAATTAAGATAATGAACATGGGAACATTAAAACTTGACAGAATTACTGCCAATAAGTCTGGGAAGAGTAGTTCTTGAGATCAACAAATCTACACTAACAATATCTATATAGTACGTGGGTAGAAAACGTAATGAACTCATGGATATTATTCTAAATCAAACAAAGCGCTGGTAGAATCTTGAATTCCATTGCGGAAGTGTTATACATTAAGATACAATACAATCTATAGAAACTTAAATAGACCGAGTGTCTGTCACACAACATTTCAAAGTTAGTAATCCACACGCTAATAGAGATACTTACTTACTTACTATTGTTAACCTTCGTAGTGGAGCATAGGAGATAGGATAACTTTATGTTCTGTACGGAAGCCAAAAAACTAAAAAAGTAATAACTCTTTTCACATAGTAGCATGCAATAATTTAAGGACGCATAATAAAGCTAATAAACTAAAAGCGCTTACAACCAGTCAAACCACAACATTGATAGAACAGAAAGAATAGTTTACACTTAATTCCAAAACGTTTTACATGTATACATCGTCACAAAGAATACATTATACAACACTTCAACTAATTGTTGGCTAAATGCTAATGAATCAAATCGATAAAAATGAATATAAGTATGATCAATTAAGCATAAAAATTATGACCGATAAAACTATTCTACATTTAGTATAAAAACAAAAACACAGGAAAGCAATTGAATTTGAATTACTACCATTCACTTCGAATCATTTTGATTGAAGTTTTTAAAATTGTCTTTTTTTCCAACTTCAACTTAAAGTAATTAGAAAATAGATTCACAGATCTTCTTGGTTCTATTTAATTGAAATAAAAATTAATAAATAATGCCGACTACTTCCAACTACTTCAAATCTTGATATTAAGTTATTTAAAGTAGAGGATATATTGCAACTTTGTTAGTAGAATTCAGTCAGTATTAATTTTATTTATTTGAACACATAAATATTGGTAAAAAGAGATACCAAATATATAGATGAGCCACACAATAAAAATAAGAATGTGAAAGGATAGAGAATGTAAAGTGCATATAAGAAAAAGGAGAACAATAACAAATAAAAATTAGTGTATGAGAGTGAAATAATGGTAATGAGAGAAACATTTCATTTAGTAAAAATACAACCAGAAAGAATTCTTTCAGTTAAAGAAGTTACGTTCAGTCTTTTATGAAATAAAAGAAAGTGACAGCAGAATCGTCACTGGCTTCTAATCTGAGACATATCTGATAACGTATCAACCCACAGTGTTGCACCATCGGTAGGACCTCAACCACTGAGTCATGAAGGACCAACAGAAGCCAGTCCTGTTCAGCCTTCTTTCATACCATGACACCATATCATACACTGACCACCTCTCTGCTTTTCCCAACGACATTTGTAGAACATGTCCAAGCCACTGAAGTCGAAGTTTCAAGATAGTGACACTAACTGAATTGTCGTCGCTGTGCTCAAAAACACAAAGTCAAACTCCTGCATTACTGACATGGTGTTGCCACTGGATGTCAGCAATCTTTCAAAGACAACGATGATCAAATACAGAGTCGTCTAACATCGTCAACTTGGAGAGGCTAGGTTTCACAAGCATAGAGAAAGACTGATCTCACCGACGCGTCGTAGATCCAACCTTTTACAGCCAGACTAACATCACGAAGGCGTCCAAGACAGCCGCTCTGGCTTTCACTATATGTGAATCAATCTATTCACTCACGCCACCACCAGCACTTGTGCAACTACCCAGATACACGAACTTCTCGAATACTTTTATCCGCTCACTACCCATGGAGAATGAAGGTTCAGGGTCATGTCAGTTTTTTAAAAGTATTTGGCACTTTGAATTTGCAAAGCACATCCCATTCTGATGGACACTAATTAAGTCAGTATTGAGGACAAATACAAATATGATATTGTTCATTAATTAACGATCAGACAATGTAGAATGTCCGAATAAGCACATTTGTCAATATCCCTGAACTAGAATAAATTTTTAGTTGAAGATATTAGACGATACAGCTGGCTGATGAATAAATATTTTATTTTTCATAATAACGTTCTATTGATTAAATATTGATTAAATAAGGTTCACTAGATTTTATACTAATTTGATTTCTTCCATGAGTTAAATTACTAATAACCCAATTAGAATATTATAAGTGATATAGGCAAGCAATATAGGCAAGTCCTCATTTTCAATGACTATTTTCTAACAGTAAAACAACAAACCAAATCGTTACGTGATTTAAGTTGTCTATAAATAAATAGTCATATATCATGCTTAATACAAATTTTTAACTTCGGCTGAAACGCGTCCCATACTGTGCAATCGATCTGAATATAAGAAAAACTTAGTATGATTCAGATATCTTCTTAAATTTCAAACACTTAGCCACACATTCGCAGAAAACATAACTCCGACTACTGCCATCTCAAGAAACATTAGTCTTTAAACAAAAAAGTGTATTGTTTAAGGCTGAGTACGGACGATTATTTGTGCAAAATCGTACACGCACACATACAAACATACATTCGCATTATCAATTGAATTAATTTTGGTGACATACAGCTAGCTATGTCATACAACCATATATTGTGCACAAAGTTGATAATGTTTAGTTAAAACAAACAAAACAACAGATTACCAAATTAGAACGGGACAAAAACAATATTAATAACTAAATGATAAAATATGATGAAAATCGATAGATATGAAAAATATATGATCTCGTGCTATGCCAGATGTGGGCGGTCGTCACTTGTCTGTTGCTTATACCATGGAAGGAAAGTATATGACCATATAGAGATCACACACAAACAAAAGCGACAGCCATATTAAAACAACGTCCCAACATCATCCAATGATAAACCGACAAATCAATTAGGTAAGAACCTGACACATATGTACATCGGTTAAATTTACCACTTCTAATTAGTATAGAGGGATGAAATTTTCCGGAAAGGTAGTAACAGCTCTAGTGGCAGTAGAAAGAGTTAAGCATTCAAGGTGCAATTGGATAAAAAAAATGTGGGTTCGTGAAATAGGAAGATTATAGAGTAATTTAAAAACTTAGGATCTAGGGGAAAACAATGAAGAAATGCATCTGAGCAGTTGCAAGCGATTTTGAGCCACGTCACCTGAAATCTTTAACCAATCGTTAAGGTAATTACATGGACCTCAACCAGGTGGTCTGCATCAACCTAAATGCATCAGTCCAACAGCGTATTCATCGACTGATTCTATATCTTGGTTTGGCCTACCTGAGCTATTTTCCAACCTACTCCGACATCAGTCATCATAGTGCACCGAGGCAATCAATAGATAGCCATACTTAGTACATACATTGACCATTTCAGTCAATAATTGCTCACTACCTCGTCAACCGATTCGCCATTCTTACCTAGTAACCTGCTTTTAACCTCAGAACTGTCATCTCAACGAACCCAAAATATGCGAGGAATGTGTTGAAAGAAATCTATGATGAAATAGTGATCACCTACGAATATCCCTTATTTTGGAGATCATGTCTCAAAGTCATTAAATAGAAAGAAGCGAACTTATGTGAAGCAAATTGGTTTTTTTTAGTTGAAAGACAGATATCTGTCGTGCGCAACCAGAGACGCAAGTTGGCAAAGCCAACTGTGCTTCCTGGATTAATGTTAGGGATCTCGTCAGATATCAGTTAATAAGGACTGGTGAGTCTTACAAGGTAGATGAAGTGATAGACAAGCCCAAATAATTCACACCTAAACTGACGATGGGGAGTGAAGTAATTAAGTGTGTTTATCTGACTTAAACACATCATTTATGTATGGAAAAGGAGGGGAATAAGTTTATAGACAATAAGACAATTGAACATAAACAACTTTTGCTAAACTACATAAATTCTAAGCTTCTTGTTCAATAAAAGACAACAAAAACCGCGCGAACGCTTTGAAAAAAAAACAGAAGTGGAAATAATATGACTTTTCTTCTTTGTGTGTCTACAAACAAACAACACCCATAACGATACAAATGTACATTATATACATGTGGACAAATAGGCAAATAGGTTGGTAGTTAGTTAGTTATCTCCTACTTTGTGAACAGGAACGTCAATAAAATGCATAAAAATAAGTAAACGAAATTTTAGGCAAACCTAGTGTGTGTTTGTGAGAGAGAGAGAGAGAGAGAGAAAGGAGGTTAGTAAGGCTTGTCGTTTATAAATACATTGTAAAAGAAAAAGAAAAAGTGTACCGCGTCATAAGTTAACAAAAAAAACATTATTTATTGTTTCCAGTTAGTTTCATTCTAAGAGTGCTAGCATACATATAGAATCGATATGCATACAAATGTGTAAATCTAGATGGAGAGAACTAAATGACACAGAAAGGTGGTATTTCTTTTTGTTGGAATAGCAGAAATAAAAAAGAAATCCAAGAAGATAATTAAATTTATCTTAAAATAAGATGAATATTAACATTGCGATTAATTCGGATATTTTACACACTCATATTGAGAAATGTAATGTTCCCTATATATAAAACCAACCAGTTAATACTTCAATTTGTAAAAATCATTACAAAACTCTTCCCTACAAACTCAAACAATTTACACTGTATCATTACTAGATGAAGTTTTAAAGAAAAACTGTATAAGTTTTCTCGATTAGTGGAAATTAGTTGAAAGAATCAATGAAGACTTGCTGAGCATGTGTAATTGAATTCTGTGTTACTGTTTCAATGATTCGAATATGTTACAGATCATAGGCAGTAAATGTATGCTGAGACAGTAAATGTTTAAGTGATGCTTCCAAGTATTCAGTGGTGGTCTAGCTTAGATCGACTGATGAATTCAAGTGTTAAAATATATTTTAATTATTGATTACTTCATCATCACATTAGAGTACCGAGTGTATTCTTTTAAGAAAATTTTACTAATAATAATTTCAAGAACCCTGTTATAATAGAAATGTAAATCCTAACGATTAAGTAACTTATTCCATGTTGGTGATTAAAAAAAGTTTTAATCATTCCTCCAGTGTTTATTTCATTTCTTCTTTTCGGCTGGTTATTTTCATACTTCGTTAGGGGTAATTTACATTTTAAGTATCGATGGAATACTTGTATACATCATACAATCTTAAATGAGTGAATATATAGTCAAATTCACTATAAAATATAACTAATTACTTACGAAACATTTTACGATTTATAGTATATTTGAAGATTGGAAAGAAAAGTCAGGAAAACCGGTTGAATATCTTTGGTTAGCACAGTAAGCTAAACTTTGAATCTGATGTCATGTGAGCAAAAAATTAACTGTTTGTATTTATAACTAGGTAGAATAATTCAAGTAGAAGTAAACCTATGAAAGTATTATGACATTCCTAAATACGATGATATGTTAAGGCGGTGGTTGAAGGCAGTGGACAGGAAACCCTGGATTGAGGTTTCGTAATATACGGAGCTCATCACCAAGGTATACCTTTAATCTTCAATCGAATTCAACATCACAGATACACATCGCTGAAAAGTTTTGAGTAACCCGAATCCCAGATTTAGGGTTTACTGTCGTCCATTTTCAACCACTAGTATAAAACAATTAGTGTCGTTATTCTACTGTTTACACAACTTGATTACTAAAATTCAAATAAACAGTTCTAATGAAAACAACTAATATCATATACTTTACAGGTGGACTTAACAGAGAATAAGATAATTTGTAGGTGATATTCAGCACACATTGATTTTACTAAAGGCACTATTGAAGAAAAGGGAGTACAAGAAACCTGTTTTATTTCAGAATGGAACTCCTCAGGATTTATTAAATAAAATGAAACATACTGATCCAAATATAAGTTAACGGTTCATTACATTTAATATAGGTTAATTTGAAAAAGAATTTAAAAATCCAACGTTTTACCATGTGTCATATCTGGAGCTTAGATTCTTGATATACCGCGTGAAACTTGAGCACTCGAACGCTACGACCCTTGAAGTCTCAAATGAGAAGACAGAAGACTAGTGAGAAAGGATGCTATTCCAAACAGTGTCGAATATGGTACAAAACTATCAGGTATTTATAATTTTTAGTGAGAGCGAAATCATCATTATAGTCATCCAATCCACATACAGTGGTTTTTAGCATTTGTCCAATAGGGAAGCTACATGTCGAGATTCTGGAGTGATCTCCCAAAAAATGATTGGATGAAATGTCTTCGGCTCTTTCTGAGCTTCTTAAAGCTTTCTCAAGTTAGCCCGTGGGCCGTCCTCACACCATGAATGTTTATTCAAAAGGAATTGCTTATAAATCATAGAATAACCATTATCATTTACACACAGGGAAAAAGCTTTAATTAAGCAGTTGAATTGTATGACGATGTATATATCCTGGCATTTCATCAAAAACATGATTTAATACGTAGTACGATATGACTTACATGTGAGTTGATACCATGGACTGATTGTGTGCATTTTATCGGCGAACAGGCCAATGAAGACGTATGATTTAAACGTGGTCTACAATCAGTAATTGCCATTTGAAGCCACTCAAGCAATAAGTTAGCATGGGATTGTAGACCTTGACGTTGATAAACTATAGCTAAATTACGTACTGCACTATGAACCACAGATCTAAAATTATAAAATATATTAAATAATTGCCATTTTACTAACAGAATACATGTTTTTTTTTAAAAAAAATGACTAAATTATGCTTTTAGGGGAACTAAAGTAGGTATCTGATTTCCTTATGAACTGACATCACTCATAGAACCACCGGGAATTAGTGGGTACGGTAAGACGGTATCTTGTCATAGTGCGGGAGTTATTGACAATTCTCATCCACGACAATATTCAAGAATGAATCAAGGACCTTCTGGTCAAGAATTGAAAATGATACATTTTTGACCAATAGCTTGGACATAATGATGTATTTTTCGAATCTCCGATCGATTACCATTACATCGTTCAATCCTCACTTAGTATCATAAGTGAAATCCATCTCAGTCCAAATGCGACTAGAATTTCATCAGTCCAATAACCCATGATTTTTAATGGCTCATCATTTAGTATCAAGTTGATGATGAACGCTAATTTTAGATGAAATAATCACCCCAAATTCTCATCTTAATTTTATGATAAATACTGGAGAAAATGATAGGCAAGTGTTTAAGTTATTGAAACATTATTTTGACTTTACGAACGGTAATAAATGATTACGTAATAATCTACTTAACAATCTGTACGATTATAGGTACTTCAGAGCACATTATTAAGGATTTTTAACACAGAATAATCACAATAGAGTTTTGAGAAAGAACATTCAATAACATTTATTAATTCTAATAAATAACCAAATTATTAATTCAGATATTGTAACAGTCAGTGATGTATCAAGATTGTTCAGAGAACCTTGATTCCTCTTTAATTTATAAATTTAACTAATTGTCACGTTTTAATGATCTTATTTGTCATTCAGTAAAATTAACAACTTTAATCTAGAAAGGTCATCTTTAATACAGTTTCACATTGTCTGACCGAATTACAAATATTTAGTAATTCCATAAATGAATATTCATACTGACTACTCAAATGGAAAAAAAGTCAGTTTTCATATACCTTGTTATATAATTAGCACCGCAAATAAATAGTGATTATATTAGAAGGGGTTTTATGGGGATTGTAATAATTTCAATACTTGAGAACATAAATCAACTGAAGTTAGACCACCATGGAAAACGTGGAAGCACTGGACGGCCAAGTTGTCCTATTACGGGACTCCTCAGCAGTGCACATCCACGATCCCGATTCGAACCCAGGACCTATCAGTCTTTCACGCGAGCGTTTAACCATTAGACTACTGAGCCGGCATTCAACGGTGTTAATGTCTAACTTCAACTAATCCACGAAACTGAGCGACACATCCATCATTATCTTCAGTGAGTTACTATCTCTGTTGAGGAGTCCCACAATAGGAAGATTTGGCCATCCAGTGCTTCCAGGTTTTCCGTGGTGGTCTAGCTTCAAGTGACTCATGATCTCAACTATCGAAATAATGAATATAGTTATAATTTTGAAAACAGAAATTAAGTGATGGTTTTCCCATGTTCATAATTTTGAAAATAGGTTACCATTATGAAACTATTCAAAATGAATATTAAAGCAATTTTTAGATATTACACACCTAGAACAAAACTTTCTAAACTCTCAAAAGTTTAAATCCATTCTACGTTTTGACAAGCCATAAAAAAAATCCAAAAGTATACAATAAAAATTAGTTTGAGGGCGACAACTATAATATGCAAGCGTTATCCTAGAGTAATTCTTCTTGAATGTGATTAAAATAGGATATTTCGATGAATAAGAATGTTAAAAATGTATTTTACATAAAATAAATGAAAAGGTTAAACATAATCTTGTTCATGTTTGACTAGATGTGTCTATTAGATATAAATAAATTTCAAACTACAGAAATAAAATACCCATTATAAATTAAAAGTACAAACAAAATCTAGTTATTTGAATAAGAAATGATAACCCTGACTATTTTACCAAAACAAATCAATCCACCTTTTGTAGTTCACAAAAGATTATTTATTTCCCGAATGATTGGTTATTAAACATCAAACAAATACACAAGATAAGTAATTTAACCTAGGTTATACAATGTATAGGTCGAAAATTCCAAGTAGATACATAATCACATATTATTATTACAGCATAAAACAATACATACAATTCCAGATTATTCGACGTCTATGATTATGTATGTATAATAAACTAACACTACACCAAGCTACATCACTACGATAAAATCAGTAAATAATGTGACTGGTATAAATATGCTGTTTTATTATAAAATCCCAAAGTATATATATCCTTGTAAACCATTTTGAGTAAAATAATTTTTAGAAACTAAAGTGAATTATTATATTCAAAAACAATACTGAGGCTATAACCCTAACTATTTAATGAAACGAAACATTTTTCAAATCATGGAAACTAATTGTCACGTATTGAATCTTGGTAGTTTCAAGGGCCATTCATCATCGATAAGTAAATAAATTTGTGTTTAAAAATTTCATTCCCGGTCAATTTAACACAGTTGACAATACTTCATATTATCATTTCAGAAAATTACATGTTACGACTCTACCGTTAATTAAGAGTTAACAAACTATAATTTAACATTATGAAGAGTATGGAGAGTCAGTTAGTCAACACCAACGTATGACATGCAACCCGCATTCATTATATCATATATCAAGTTAGCACAGTGAAAGGAAATCAACAAAACGAGAAATTATATCGTAAATAATAGAAACTCAAACAATATTAAAAAAAAATCATAAGCAGTGATGGATGGTGGCTAGCACTGAAATTCAGGATAGGCGTCTCGTCCCATTGAGCACTGATCATTTAGATGTACTCGCATCCCAGGGTTGATGTTTACTCTGAGGCTCGAACCCAATACCATTCGCTTCAAACACCATCACGTTATACACTTGGCTACTGAGTCGAGATAGCCGCTGGCTTATGCATTCATTTGCATTGGTTGTTTTAACCTTCCTATTGATGTTTAGGACTACAATTGATCAGTTTCTTGTGCCATTTGTACATCCTGTGCAGATCGTATCGGTATTGTCTTAAGTCACAAGGATTATAAGCTGATATGGATGGTGGGTAACAGTGGAATCTTGGACACACATTCCGTCCTATTTAAACAATCTATACAAACGAATCAGAAATGTTCATTTGTTTAGTGTTTTGTTATCTTTATAAATTCTCACGGACATTCACATATTTACTCATTATGAACTCGCTACACATTGGCTCATATTGAATTGCCGAAAAGTTGATGAAAAGTCTTTCAAAGTATCTGTGATTACAAATAGTCAATAGCGAATATTGCTTTATTCGATGTTCGAATAGAAATTAAACCGGTTGCATAAAATAAATATTTAGCTTACATACTATTATTATGATAAACTAGGATAAGGCATATTATTTACTATCGATGATTAGGCCTACAATTATTCAGTCTATTGTGACATATGTGCATCCTGTACAGACAGACTCGATATTGCCTTTGGGCTTGGTGTATACGAAGAATGGAATGAAATTCAGAAAAATGTGTGGAATAAATAGGTTTCTGAGTTTAAAAACATAATGATATGTAAACAGTGTATGCATAACTTAGCTAGCTAAGGGTCATGACCTAATAAAATAAAAAATGTATATATATATATATATATATATATATATATATATATATATATTCAGGGTGCACAAGTGCTTTACAAGCTCTACGTATTTTACCAACCAAATACTATTGATCATAGATCTTCGTATTAAACAAATGACAATAACTGTGTTACATAGAGTTTTAGTGAAATTAAACAAATATGACTGTTGTGCATAAAAGTTGGTCAACTGAGAAACAGAATCAATGACTTAGTTCTTTAAAGATGAATTCCTGTCAATCAACAAACAATGTATTCGATTGTAAAAATGTGTAATCAAAGTGAAATAATTTAACTAAATATCTCCTGGATAGGCCTATAAATAGAACTTACAAATGTATAACTTAATGATAGGAATGTCAGTGAGTTATTTAATTACAAAGAAAGATGTGGTGCAGAAGTGAGTCAGCTCAAGTTAACACAGCCCACACGATCATAGAGTTATATCTTACTAGTAGGATTTAATACGGGCCTAAGATATTTACGGATTTAAGAACAAAAACGACTGAACTGCTCTAATACAATTGGTTTCCTTTCAAATCGACAACAGCCGTTTACACACATCACATCAAAAACCCCGATGGCTAATACAGGAAGACAGATTGCGGGAAACTTGATATTCGAAGTAGAACAAAAAAAAAAAAAAACAAGACGAATTAGTACAACCATAACTACAGTAGAAAGCGTTTGCGCGCTTTACGAAATGGAAGTATTGTCCTAAAATGATTTGCACTTCTCCAACTTTTGCTGTGTTCTTACGCAACAAAAGTGCCATTTTTGATCAAAAGAATCTGTCCCGATCTTAATGTTCGGTAGATTACCTTTTTTTTAGTTTTATCCCAGTTAATAGTTAACTGTGATTTTGTCTCGGCTTACTATTCACCTTTTACGGTTTCTCACATCAAATCTGGTTTTAATATATCCTAACGTTTCATACTACTTGTTTTTATCTGCTTTATCCGTTTTGGGTATATTGTTTTTTTTCACGGTCGAAAACTTTGCCGAGATTTATTTAAAAACTGATATATCACCATGGTTACTAGGACCACATGTACGCGACCTGGATGTCGTCTTGCTATCACACGTGGTATCCTGACTAGGCTGGAGAAAACGTTGTCCTCAACCTTGAAAAAAGACAGTCGTGAGACGGATAAACAAAGACATGTAGTAAGGCAAAGAAGAGGGTCTTCGACAACATAAGTGTTGATGGAACGAGTATCAATACTAGTGAGGATTTTTCGAAACATAATACTTCTGTAACATCAACGGTGTTAAACTCCCTCAGTATATCTGTGTCCTTGAGCACAGACTCTCCAAATGCAACTGTAGCCCACAAGACATCTACTGTAGGCGACTAGAACTCAATCAACAAGATTAAACATAAACGAACGTCACAGAATGTTACAACTTGTGACCGCCGATTAGAGAGCACTGCCTTATCGATCGGATCAATGAATCGGACGTGCAACCTATCCCTAAGATTGTTGAACCAGTTAAGAAAAAACACAGGGATCCAGATCGCAATCTAACTGCTAAACAAAAGGGGAACCTAGACCTCAACGTACAATAAAACCTGGGAAAAAAATCACGGTTCGCGATGATTCGCTCATAATCACGAACCTGACCTTCATCTCAGTCTGCAGGACAAAAGCGACAGGATGCCTTGGGAAGAATTAAATAGGAAGCTCAAACTTCTCGAAATCAAGCACTTAACGGTAACAGATTATACAAGGTAAAAACATCATGCACGAACATCATCCAAGACTCCTTGTAACATTCACTAACACTGTTGATGTAGAGGATGTTCTACCGGTCAGTCACTGGCTGAAATCAGAAGGGGATATGAGTATACTACCTGATATACCATATTTTGGGTGCAATCTCCTCAGGAACATCCCTAAGGAATCTCAAGAGTTCTTTCGCAGAAGAAACATTATTGTGCAAGGTGTTCCATAAAACAAAGACACTGATATTCTAAAGTAAAAGTTCATAAAGTAAACCTTGGAGCTTAAGAACGTATTAACTAAACAAGTGGTACGTTTATCAAAGAAGGGAAGGAATTCTAGACCCAGGTGGATAAAGATAATCTCCTTATCCTCCCGAATAGCGGCTGTCACTCCCTAAGCATTTCGTGCCAGAAGATGCTTTATCAACTGAAACCCACATGCATCTAAACAGGCCCCATGATGCAAGCATTAAGCACAAAAGCACGTTTGAACTGACTATTCCACATGTGGGCTGTCAAGAAAATGGAAAAATATAGGAGGTACAGGGACTACCAAATCGGAAGATCTTGTGTAGGTGGGCTGCCTATCTATTCACATATGGCTTATTCAAACAGACAGAACGAGAAAGCTTATGTGCTTCAAATAAAAACCATAATCTGCAATATATGAACGCTGCGAGTATACCGAACAAAATGAACGAGTAGCGTAAACTAAGTAACGCTTGTAATACGCATCTAAAGGGAATATCTGAGATGTGGTCATCCTCTTTAGCTAAAGACCAGGAGGTGGCAATACCCGGCATATCTTTGTTATGCGACGACAGAAAAATAGGAATGATGGGCGGAGCCACCCTGTACCTACGATCTTGCTTGGTAGCACATCAAGTGTGTACTCAAGAGTTTATCAAATTTGATAAATTTGTATGGTGCTTAGTGAGGTTGGCTAACACCTCAAGGTGTCCAGTTGGAGTTATTAACAGGAAACCCACTGCTGACACCGAGTACGCCAGTCGTATGCTATGGGATTATTCCTCTCTATTCGCCTAGGGATACACTCATATCCTGATCCTAGGAGACTTCAATCTTGCTAACGTTAATTTGTTGAGCACATATACATTCACTGCGCATGATCTTATGTGTTAAAGATGTCTGTCACGCAAACAGTCCCCGAAAGTTACAAAATACGACCTTCTAGCACAAAGGAATTTAGTGAACTAAAAACAATGACAATCAGAGGGCAAAAGTCGTGAGGGAGATCAGATTAGAAAAGAATACATCGGCGGTTATTGCTCCTGAAAAGATTTTACCTATTCTAATAAAGTGTAGCTGTTCTTGTGATAACCTTAGCACATTCTCTTTTCCGAAAAGCTTTCACTCTTTCTGAATTATGTACCTTCGTTCGCCGTCGTTTGCTTCTTAGTGGTAAAAACGTTTCGGTAGGTTCTTGTGATAGTGCTTCTGTTCCGCTTTGTATCAGACTTGGTATTTCTTCTGGAATTTTAATACATCAGGGAGGGTGTCCAAGGTTTACTAGTTCCTTCTGATGGCTCTTCTACGTTTCTGGTTCCCATGGCACATCCATCTTTATCCTTCTACGGCCACTTCAAAGATGACTTTTACTCTTCCACCCTTCGCCCAAAGTTCTTTTCTAGGTCAATTTCAATGTACTTTAAATATAACAGGTCAAATGTTCATTAATTAAGTCAGCGACTGACTACTATTGATTAGATGAATTACTTGCGTTAATAATACTGATTATAAAGACAATTAGAAATAACAAAAAACTATAGGTTTGTTAAAATTTGAAAAATGGAGAGATAATCGAAAATTTTAGGCTTTCTAAACAGACTATGTCGGAACTTTCAAGCTTAGAAAATCAGTAAAATGTTTGAGAGGTATGTTTAGTTTCGATCTATTCTGTGTAAACTACCTATCAATATGATCAAGTGAGCAAGGTTGATGTTAGACATAGGTTACTAGGTAAAGGCGGAATATCATCTGATGTGGTTCCAAGCCTTCATCGACTGAAGTAATTAGGACATGTATTAGGTATGCCAAACCACTGCCTACTTGGACAAGTGATACTGACTGGAAGAAAGATAGGAGCGGTTAAACCAACACACAATATCAGTTCACGAAGTCATGGACCGTTGGTTTGAACCATGTTAGTGTGTGCAGACTGCCTGGTTGGAATCCGTGTGATAACGGCGATCAGTGATATAAAATTTATGGTAACATCTATCAAAATCCTTCGCAACGGAGTAGATACACTTACTACTTAACTTCCTCCTGATTGTTTATTTCTTCCTAAATACTTTGCCATTGTCTTTCAGAGCCACAGTCATTGCTACCATATTATTTCAGTCGGTTTTGTAACCCATCTTGTCAATTTTGTCTCTTCATATTAATTTAGTATAGCGAGTTAGGCCAAACTACAAGTTGATAATTTTTATTTCATTCATAGACATATTATTTTCCACTCATTATCAATAATTATTAATTTAGAAAAAAAAAGATTCAACCATTATCCATCTGACAAATAAAAAATAATATGAGAGTATATACAACTTACAGTTCGATTCTGGCTTCCGAAGCCCATGTAACAAGTGAAAATTTTTGATGATTATTATCTTTGATACTTTGTTCTAATATTACCCATAATGGATTAACTGGTCGACTAGACGAATTCATTATCAGAGATTGTTCAGTTGAATCACATGGTAAAACAACACCACCATCTAACAAAGATCCAACACCACGATAACCACCATTACTACTAATACTACTTATATGACTACTACCTAGTGAAGATAATGAATAAATAGCTGAATCATGTTCAACATTTTCTGATTGTAAAAAATTATTCATTAAATGACTTTTTTGCTGTGTTGAAGTATAACCATGATCTGGTGTTAAAACTGATTTTAATAGAGATTCCGCATCTGCTAAATTTCGACGTTTCAATAATGCAGAAGCCTAGCAAAAAAGTGGGAAAATATGATTTAAACAAATAAACAAGTTATATATATATATATATATATATATATATATATATATATATATATATATATATATATATATATATATATAGTTCATTTAGTTATTTTATATGTACCATTTTAATAGGAAGAAATTTTTCGTCACAAATTACCAATGTGTTTGTTTATGTATTGGAACACATAAATATTGGTTAAAGGGGGCACCGGATACATATGCGCCACACAATAATAATGAGAATAGAAAGAGATAAACAATATAAGGTGCATGTAAAATGAAAAAACAGAAAGATAACGACCACAAATTAGTGTATGGTAGTGAAATAATAATAATAATGGGGGAAACAGAAAGGTACAACCAGAAAGAATTCTTTCAGTTAGAGAAGTTACGGTCACATTTTATCAACAAAGTAAAAAGTTACAGCAGGATCGTCACTGGCTTCTATTCTGAGCCATATCTGATAACGTCTCTAGCCACTGTGTTGCACCATCTCTAGGACCCCAACCAGGGAGTCGTGAAGGACCAACACAAGCCAGCCTTCTGCAGCTTTCTTTCATACCACGACACCATGTCATACACTGACCACCACTTGGCTTTTTCAAACCAGTCCCAGAGTCGGTAAATAATGCACGACGTGGAATTCTCTGGGACGACATTTACAGAACATGTCCAAGCCACCGGAGTCGATGTTACAAGATAGTGACACCAATTGAATAATCGTCTATGCGCCCGAACACACCATTCCGAACCTCTGCATTAATAACATGGTGTTAACACTGGATGTCAGCAATCCTTCGAAGACAACGATAATCAAACACAGAGTCGTCTAACATCCTCAACTCGGAGAGGCCAGGTTTCACAGATTTCTCAAATTTGATAAGATGACAAATATCAATGTGTATATGAAGTTTACAAAGCTTTTTTTATGTATCAAATAGTTGAATGAGAACCTAATCAAAAGTCTACAAAAGATCCTATTATTTTATTTTACTACAGTCAAGGATGATTTATACAATATGGATATTATCACATTGTCAGGTTCTATGAATACAAAAATTAACAACATTTTTGAAAGCTTACAAAAAATTAATATTTATCATTATGTTCATATTCTTTTAAGGTAGAAAAATCTCTCTTCCAGTACTTTTTGTTTTATTTTATTCTATGGCAAGTATCACATGAACTATCGCTGTAATACTCCTTGTCCAGTCTTTAAACATTGTTCTAGATATTAAATGATTTAGCTCAGAATCAATCGTAATAGTTCAGATGTATTCACTTTTTGTTTACGATCGAACTTCGAGTTCTGAAGCACTATTATACCATTCATTTCATAAATGCATTATTTGTTCTCGAAGCATATTGTTTATCCCTAAACGTCTCAAACTACTATTGATACTGTTACTATTTCTAATATCCTGGCATTCGCCTTGATAATTTCATTTCTGCTGATGTTGTAACAACTTGAACTCATGAATAAACGTACCAGAAGCTAAGTTACTCATAATTGACCAACTATAAAAACTGCTGCTCGTATTGATATAAATGTAAGACTTCAATATTCTAAATTGGAAGAAGGAAAATTTCGATGATGATACAATACACTAGTTGAAAATACCATAAATATTCAACCATTGGAAAGTTGCATACAAATTTTATATACAACATATGAAGTGTAAGAAGCTCTGAATTTATTATTGAAACAACTCAAATATGTATGACCCACGAGCAAAAATCGTCAACTAGCAGATACAAACCAATAAATGAAGAAAAAATATTCACTTATTTATTAAGAGTAAAATCGATCTATCACAAGCTTACTAATAAAGATAATCAGCTCTTCAATTTCCGAAAAAATTACAGAAAACATTCGAGAACCTTTTGAAGTATGAAGTAAAAATGAACTATCAAAAAGCGAACATTTCACTTCTTCATGTTGACAGTTTCTTTATTTCAAACCTACATACATATATCAAAAAATTTTTTTTTGTAAATGTTCAAAGGAAACCCTTTGAATTGAAAATTAAATAATAACGAACTTTTAGAAATTAACAGAACACAAAAACAACATACCAAATTACTTTTGGCTTTTCGTATGATAGGCGATGAAGGCTTATGATGTTTGACATATATATCTAAGGCTCGTCGAAATGCAGATTCGACCTATTGAAACAGGAATAAACGAAACAGTAAACTATCAGTATAGGGTAGTGGATATCTTAATAAAAACAATAAACGCGAAAAACTGATAATTAGAAATAAAGAAAAAAGTCATATTAGTAGAAAGTGAGCATATAGAGTAACTGAAGTTCCTTTTTTCACTCAATTTTTTTTGTACTGGTAACCAGGTAATATAACTACGTATTATGAAATAGAAAGTATTCATGGTAAGTGTTATGACCTTAGTTATACAATTACCAATTTAGATACCCTGACTTATACGACTAAACTAATAACGCATGCACCAGTACGAGCAACCTACAGTTCCGATTGGTTTTTTTCCCGCCTAGGTCCCTGTCTGTTAAGTTCAAAACGCCAATCTCAGCCTCCGTAAAATATTTCAAACATACTTGGTTTATAAATAAGCAAAACTAGACCATATCACACTAAAAAATAGAAAATAACATTTGTACAAGATCAAGCCAAAACGTAGCCGTGATTGTGACTGTTACTAATAAATTCGGAAAATCTCAAGAACGGCAAATCGTATGATAATAGTCTATAGGTCAGATAAAAGCTTATAATGAAAGGAATATGAATGTACATATAATATAGTTACTTAATAGTTATACAATAAGAATATATGTACAATATTAATCGATACGTAATTTCCAACCGTTACCATTCATTTGTTCTCTTCCGGATAGAACATTAAGATTTATCCAGAGTTTCATAACCTTCAATTTTATGACAAACTACAATGAACTGTGATGAATTTTTGAGTAGTGAGAAATATTCATTAACTGACTTCAGGTATATCTCTTCCTCTCTGTAGTGCACATTCTAGAAACAGGTGTTGATAGTAATAAATGAAAGTTTTTACTCAATTTTTAGCATTCAATTCAAAAACAGTTCAATCAACAATCATATTGTAAATACCAGATCTCAATATAACGAACAAGACACTGTAAACAAATCTTTAAAAAAAACACTTGACATTAAGCAATTTAATAGCCAATATTTTCTACATTATTTAACTAAAGATTTGGGACACGTACTGTGGAATCTGACACAAGTGTTTCGTTCTATTTAACACTCACTAGCTAGTCGAGTATTCTTATAATGCGCTATTGATGTTCACGTTGGGACTTGAACTCAGTGGCTTTCGCTTCAAACGCTCGACGAGTTATCTAATGAGTTACTGAGTTCAGTTAAACATTATTTCAATTCACAAATAACAATATTTAATTCCAACTTAATTACTATTACTAAAATGCTTACATATTCTAATCAAAATTGTTTATAGCTTAAATAAACAAAAACATCTGTTATACACAATACACAAATTTTTAGTCATCAATAATACTATTACTATTATTAGTTATTGTCATTGTTGGTGTTACAGTACATTGAATTTAATTCATTAAAACCAAGGAAAAGGGCCCATTTAATTCGTTTTCTTAGACACGTAGACATTGATGACGTAAAGTATGGTTAAGGGGTACAATGTAAAACCTTGAATAAATCGATTCAAATTAATATAAAATGTGAGATAAATTAATTTCATAGAATCTATATAAAACAGAATGATGTATATAATAATAATTATAATAGTAAGTATATAGCAGTGTGTCCATAAATTTTTACAAGATATGCACGGAGGCAAAATAAAAAAAAAACCTGACAGACTTAGGAATAACTAGTAACACATGAAGACATAAACCACATTAAACACACATAACCATGAACATTAGTATAAATTGAACTTTATGTAAACAAATGAAATGTAGTTTATAGAAATAAAAGAATGAAATATGTACCGTATTGCACTGATTTACTTTAAGTCATGATAAGAAAGGTGTTAATAACTGTAAAACTCGTTTCGATGACACTGTTGAAATTGGATAGCTAACTGTTATAACTGTGAAGTCATTGCTGTTATATACGTATCGACCAGATTAGGTTCACAGTTTAACTGGATTTACTTGACAGTCGGGAAATACTTCAATTCCTTAACCCTACAGCTTAAATACTAGGAAACAGGAACCATCACATTATCCAGGAATTTATTTATTTATTTATTTATTTGAACACATAAATATTGGTACAGGGGGGGCACCAAATACATATGCGCCACACAAAACAATGATAATTTGAAGAGAAGGAGAAAAGAGAAAAAAAAGTAATGAACGTGGGGATAAATAAAAAAAGAGAGAGAGAACAATGATGGGGAAAACGGAAAGGTACAATCAGAAGAGATCTTTCAGTTAGGGAAGACACAAACACCTTTTATGAAGAAATTAAAAGAAGGTTACAGCAGGATCGCCACTGGCTTCTATTCTGAGCCATATCTGATAACGTCTCTAGCCACTGCGTTACACCGTCTCTCGGACCCCAACCAGGGAGTCGTGAAGGACCAACACAACCAAGTCCTTTGCAGCTTTCTTTCATACCACGACACCATGTCATATACTGACGACCTCTCCGCTTTTTCCAACCAGTCCCAGAGTCGGCAAATAATGCACGATGAGGAATTATCTGGGACGACATTCGTAGAACATGTCCAAGCCACCGAAGTCGGTGTTGCAAGATGGTGACACCAATGGAATTATCGTCTCTGTGACCGAACACTCGATGCCGAACCTCTGCATTACTGACATGGTGTTGCCACTGGATGCCAGCAATCCTTCGGAGACAACGATGATCGGACACAGAGAGTCGTCTAACATCCTCAACTAGGAGAGGCCAGGTTTCACAAGCATAGGGCAAAACTGCTCTCACCGTCGCGTTGTAGATCCGACCTTTTACAGCCAGACTAACATCACGAAGGCGCCAAAGATGGCCCAGATTGGCATAAGCCGCTCTGGCTTTCACTATACGTGCATTGATCTCATCACTCACACCACCACCAGCACTTATGCAGCTACCTAGATACACGAACTTCTCGACTACTTCAATCTGCTCACCATCCGGAGTGAGTACAGGATTAGAATCCTGCCAGTCTTGTAGAAGTACTTTGCACTTCGAGGGTGCAAAGCACATACCATACCTACGGACACTGATTGCCAACTGATTAAGTGCGGATTGCATAGCTTGGGCATTCTCGCACAGTAAGACCAGGAATTAGAGTGAAGGCACAAAAGACTGGTGTAAGCGAAGATATAAGGAATCAACAAGAAAGTATTCATACAATTTTATTTTTATCTATTGTATAGCACTTTTAGAAACTACTAGAACACTTTTATCTGTTTCTTAGTATTTAAAACAAGTATTGGTTAATTAAATTTGAGTTATAAGGTATGTGTAAGTCACTCAACTTGGTCTATATAATAATGAACTTATATTCCATACAAACAAGAACACGTAAGATTGACTTTTTTATTTAGAAACATTATTCCTACATCAATTTATTCGGGAAGAAGAATCGAAATTATTCATGGTATTCTACAAGAACAACTAGTTTAGGTGACATGTTCGTGTCTTTCACGAAAAAAAATAATCCATTTATTTTTGAAATGATTGAAGGTAGTCAACAAAAAATTCAGGGTTTAAATTTCGTGTTATTTGGGCTTCATATGATGACGTTAGTTACTATTCAGCGATCAATCAATAGTACATAAATTTCAGTCATACAGAAGATCGATTACGGTCGGAATAGAACAGTGGTAACACCTATAATTGTGAAGCTAGATGACATTGGATTGAATCAGACGGGGAACATCAGTTTCATAAAAATTACACTTAAACTTCGCTGACAAGTGCCGAATAGCACGAAACCTAGGTTCAGAGCATTCTATCAACTTCATCTAACCACCTTACATTCCCCTACTCGGCTATGCTTTGAAGAAATGACAGGGGATTGCAATAGCATTCATCGATTAAAAGTAGTGTGACAGAAAGACATGTTATGGGCATAAAATTAATCGCAAATGTTTACGGATAACAATGAATATTAAATGACCACTGTTGAATAAAAAACAATCTTATGTGTATGAGTTTTTAGAATAGTGGACGCAAGTGAAAAATGCTATTGCAATATCGTATAATACAACCGAAAATACATTGAATATAGCAAATATTAGCAACATGGCACTGATGACACTATGCATAAAAACTAGACTAATGATTGTATATGTTGCATTTTCTTGGGTTCCCTATAATGATGCCAGGATTTATAGTTTTTAAATAACATGTAAAACATTATTGATTGTAATTATTAGTGTTGAAAAAAAGAACAGAATGTACTACTAATAATAAGACACAGGACCGAAAGCCATTCACCATGATAAGATAGACAGAAATAAGAAAGAAGCCATTTTTACCCATCAGCCAATACAAATCAGATATATTATGATTGATTTTCTTTTGGATTCTATCAAAACCAGTACAATAACACCAAAAATATATTATTATTACATTATTTATATAACCATGTATTTGACTATTTGTTCAAATGATTGGACATGGAAAAAACATCCAGAATCTAAAAAAGCTAAGACATTTAAAACACTTTTCGCTTCAGCTATATAAACTTATGAATCGCAATTAAAGTAAGGAGATTGATGAGTAACAAGTTTTTATATCATTCATTCAATATATATATATATATATATATATATATATATATATATATTGAATGTCCAGTCACTGTTTTCTTTTGCTAAATTCCAAAATGGAAATAAAATAGACATGATTTGTTTACCTCGCACACCATATATTATCATCTAGATTTTGGAATACTACTGATTCAATAAAGAATCCCAATATAAAATAAAATGTTGGTGTAAGTAAAGAATGGTATTTCGTAAAAAGTTGTTCGGAAGTAAAAGTAAAGCAGAGTAAGAATAAATGTGACTTATAGGTATCAATACCAAGATTGGACTTGATGGCTTTTCAAATAAATTGAACATTGAGTAGAAATTAACAATAAATATATTATTTGTTATATTTCAATGAGTAGAAAAATTGTATTTCTGATGTTTCGTGACTTAATGTAAGCCTTA